GCTTCTCAGCCAAATTCCTACTAGCGTACCATTTGCCCTCTTGGCCAATTTCATAAGTTTTTTCTTCAGGGACTTGCAGACATGCCATATGTCAAAGTAATGTTTGACACCCTTCCAGCACTCCCTAACCCACTTATTCACCATCATGTGCCGGTCCGTTATAAATGCCTTCACCTTAGACATTCCCAGGGAAGTTTTGCACCGTTTCAGGCCTTCAAGTTCCATGTGGTTGGAGGATGCTACTTCATTTTTCTGAAAATCATCAGGTAAAGAAATATGAACAGGGAGAAACTTCCATGAATCAATGATTATGAGGATTAAGTTCAATTCCAAAAATTGAACTACCTCAGATTATAAAGGGATGTATGGGAGACTATTTATTAGTGTTGTCAATTAACTGCTTGAGCATTAACCAGTTAACTGGGTGTCTTTACCGGTGAAGTCGGTTAACCGGGGGAAATATAACATGATGATTTCAAATGAGATCTTGAATGTTGAAAAAAATCTTTTAGAAGAAATGTTATATTGGCGTTCATTTTTTACATTCCTCAAGTTTTACGTAAAAAAAACTTACTTGAAAAACAAACAGATTACTATGCAATGTAAGCGCAGGAATTTATAGGGATTAAAATTTTACACGGTGGTTAACCAGTTAACCGATTGAAACCTGACACCACTACTATTTAGCATTTTTAAGTGTTATTGCTGGTGATGAACAAAATATTCCACACCTCTAATTTGTTTCAAGAAGATCCTCTGCAGTGGCACTTAGCTGAAAATTAAACATAGTAAAATGACTGAAAAATTAGACATAGGAAACAAATGTGTATACTATCTTGGAATTCAAAGGGGGAGCTCGATGGTGATGTCCCTTTACTTTTCTGAAAATGAAAATATTATTTTAGCTGAACAGTAAATGAAGCAAGCTAGACACAAACTGCATATCCTCTGCAGTGGCACTTAACTGAAAATTAAACATAGTAAAATGACTGAAAAATTAGACATAGGAAACAAATGTGTATACTATCTTGGAATTCAAAAGGGGAGCTCGATGGTGATGTCCCTTCACTTTTCTGAAAATGAAAATATTATTTTAGCTGAACAGTAAACGAAGCAAGCTAAACACAAACTGCATATCAACAGATTCACCAGCTTTTTCATTGTACCTGTACAAGTTCTAGAGCTACAATTTTATTCCGGACCATGTCGATGAGCGAGTATGAGCCATACTTGGCACAGTGGCCCATACTGTCACATCTTCCATCTCCCCCTACGATCATGCCTGATTTTGCAGCTGTTTCCAACAAGACTTCCTGTTGCTTTTTCCATAGTCTACGGATTGCACCTGAATTTTGAATTTCACATTTTCCCTAATTAAAGTTTCCAAACATTCAATCATGCAGTAAACTAGATCAGATGCTTCAAAAAAGAGAATTAAAAACCTCAGTGAGTTTCAAATACCATCTATCTATGGGTAGTTTTTTACCATCAAATTAGAGAATCTGGCCCTATCAAAACAAATTAAAACAAGTTTGGCCACATCATTCATTTTTTTATTGAATACACAGGTGTTATATATTAATTTAAAGATATTAATGCTCACCATGTAGGTAATTCTTCTGATGGTAGAAAAATGTTGAACGGCTGTACGCCTGAACCCCCCAACACTTTAGCTGCCTTAGGGTCTTTGTTGGAGTTGAACCTTTAATTACAGATAATCAGTTGTTAATGTCATAATTGATATGTGAATGTGTTAGTAAACATTTCTCTGTAGTGAAATCTATCAACAGTAAATGCTTTTGTTCTCCTACACATAGTGTACTTCAATCAATCAAAATCAAATCCATAAATAATGTAAGGCTACAAGAGATATTTAAATGATCTGTAGAATTCCTTGTAGAGTAATACAGCAAGAACCCTCTAAATGAGAACTTCAGTTATCAAAGTTCAACACTCAGATACCAGATTTGGGAAAAATCTCCCATAAAAAGTACCACAATTTTTTTTTAAATCTCCCACTAATTTTTCATTTGAGGTTGGCAGGTCTGGATACTATAAAATACCTTAACATATTGTATGTATGTACCTGTGAATAGGATACTGGCAGAGAGGAAGATATTTCCCCTAGCAATACCATGGAAGAGAGTCTGGGAACTCCATAGAAATGACTTCCCACAGGTGTTGCAAAGCTGTCTCAGGCCAAGCATGGTACCCTGAACTCCATCAACAATGACTGACGTTTCCCTGCTTTTGCAGTGGAAACACAAAGTGAACAGGGTCATTAACTGTGACAGCTGGACAATGAACATAGAAGTGTCATCAAACTGTTGCCTGAAATGAGAATTTACTTCAATCATCATATTATCAAACTTCTGTACTTCTATTTAATTTGGGCTTTGTATAAAAAACCTCCTACCTCATACCCACCTAAGTGGGACATGATACAGTCATTGGAGGGTTCAATTTTAAAGATTTTTAAATCTCAAAATATTTGAAATGAGAAAAATTAATCCTTGGCAATCCCACACTTTTTTCTTTCATAATACGATAATGGGTGTCCATTTTTAAAAACACTAGTTGCCTGCTGCTAATGAAAGCTCTGCATTGCAAGGCATTAAAACTAAATGAAAGGGGGTATTTATCATTGTGCTCAAAATCGAATTTACCTTTTTATTGTATGATCCTCTTCAAAGTCTTCATCCTCTGTCATAGAGTCTTCATCATCGTCATAATCATCAGGTTTGGGTTCCCAGTCTGGATCCATTGCATCGTCCTCCATTGGCTCATCGTCTGATTCCTCATCTGATGACTCGTCTATTGTATTTGTCTGGGTACTGATGGACATAGTTGAAGGTTTGGCCTCAGGTAAAGTTTGGACACCTGAAAATGTGTGCTCATGTATATTATTATCACATACTGTACTTGAAATATCTGGGGATCCACTTTTCCTATTTAAAGGTGCAACAATTAGTGCAGAGAGTTTACGCATGTTTTATTTTTATTACTATGGTAACTCTCCACTAGGTCGAAAAATGTTGACTTGAGTTATTTTGTAAAAATGTAATGACAATTACCTGCGTTCCTGAGATTAACTTTGGTTGTCTGGACTTGCTTCACACGTGTTAAGTGAAGTTGGACTTGTGTGACTTGTGTGTTGGCACATTTTGTGGTAACCTGTGCTTGTGATGCAGCTTCTTTGGTTGGACAGTCAGGGATATAATGACAGGGAGACGGAGTAGTTGTTCTCTGGATCTTGGCCTTGACAGCGACAGGGCTCCAGGGGGTCATATCAAGGGCATTCTTGAGAGCATCTTGATGAGCCTAAAACATTGTGTAAATTCTTAAAATATTTGGATTGTAACCCATGAATTCCTAGCCCTAAAATATCCATATTTTACTGATGGGTCAATCCGGCAAGTTAAATAGTAGAAAAATTTTCAAAATTTGCCCAATCCTCTGAATCAAATACAGTCTGAGCAATAAATAAATGAGCAGTGGATTAGCTGAAGTGAGGATTTTCTTACATAAGTGAATTTACAAGAGGCCACACATCAGTGGATGACAGTATACAAAATGTAAAATATACAAATTTTAAGGGATATGTATCTAGACAATATTTGAAACTATGGGCTTTCAAACCACCATTGTTTGGAAATGGTGATAAATAATCTATTTACAGGGTAAAGGAAGCTTTCCTTTATTACTTACTCTTTTCAAAAAAGCACCTCTCTTTGGAGTACATGTATTACTAGGAGACGCACATGGGGTTGGAGATGCACATGGGGTTGGAGACGCACATGGGGCTGGAGCCGCACATGAGGTTGGCGACTTTGGAGTGTCAGTCTTGATTGTGGGCACTGCATCATTTTTCAATGTCCGAGGCCTACAAATATAAGATTGGCAAACAACATGTCATGTTCTGTAAAATTAACAAAATAATAGAAACAGGTTTGAACCATTTTGTGCACAAAATTGGACAAGAGTTCTACAAACCCCCTGGTACCAACCCATTGGCAGATCTGGGGGGGGGGTCAGAAAAAAAATTGGGCCCAAAAAGCACTCGGGGCCCAAATAAGTGGGCCTTTTTGGCATAATTGGGCCTTGCCCCCCCCCTGTTGATTCCCAGATCCACCCCTGCAACCAATCATACCAGTGGATCGGTACATGTGACCATTTGATGAGCCTCTATGGTGAAAGGAATTCGGAAAACATGGGAAATAAATATTAAAAAACGAAAAATATTTTTTATTTCCTGGTTCAAATTTGCAGATTCCCGAGGTGATATTCACACTAAATAATCACACAAACTCTGTCAAATACTGCTTATAGATCTTACTTACATGGGTTTCTGTCCCATCGATAAGAGTATGGCATTTTTCGTCTCATTTACATCGAAACAATCTGGGTTGAAATGAGCAGAGCAAACTCTGCTTTTCTCACTGGGAGTGAAATCCCGCCTCGTATTTTTCACAAAGTTACACCACAATCGGGACATCTTGGGGTCTTTTGGCCATCTAAACAACGAAATCCCCTCTCGGGGCACGTTGCTACAGCTCCCCACCACACACCTATTCGGCATTTAGTACTACTAAGGCTCGTTTTGTCTTCAGTTTTGAAAAAAGTTTTTTGTTCAATGGCGAACTCAAGCAATTCCAAAACGAGGCTGAACCCCCCTCCCTCTGATGATGTATTTGGATTTCAGAGGTCAACAGGTACAATAAATGAAGCAAATATCGGCAATTTTCTATTATGCTTTACTTAATAACAGAACATGTTTTTTTTTGTTTTTTATTTATTTATGTGATATGTTTATAGTATAAGGATTTTATTAAGATAGGACACCCATGTAATTTGATAAACGTTTGAACTACATCTTTAACTTATGTTTGAGGTATCAATTGTACTAGATATGACTTGGCCCGAGTAATTAATTATATATTATTAAACAATTAAATAACATATATTTTAATAATTTATTCCTTATTTATCTATACTTTCAGATTCCAATATCATATGGTGTGAAATTACACAAGACATTGCAGAAAATGAAGTATTACTCGCATGTTTTGCAAATGAGGGGGTTTCGGCGGATACCCCTGAGAGAGCAGTCACCCTAAAGGACGGGGCCCCAATTAAAGAAAGTCTGGATACAATGGATGTCATATCTAGTCAAACAAATCATATCAAAGTCGAAGTCGATTCTAGTCATGATGATCAATCTAAGGGGTCTTCAAGCTTGTCCAAGGGGTCTTTAGAGTCAGAGTCCGCTATTGAGAGAGATACCCTAAAGATGGAGCCAAAGTCACCCGTTTCATCAACGTCTGAATTAACTGAAGATTCAGAACCAGTCGTTAAACCAAAGCTAACACATTGTAAGTATTCCATTAAATTCTTTGAATGTCATGCTAGTAGGCATCAAACTGGCACTGTCTGTTACATTATATTTGGTTTAAAAATTAAATGACATTCCAGTATTGATGCCCTTGTTTATGGCTAGTTTAAGTTTCATTAATTCATTAATTATCAATTTGGGTAATCTCTCTAAAATGAATTGATATAAAACTAAAATCATAACTACAGTATTAATATTTTATGCCCCCTATCATTTGAACCATCATATATTTGACATGTGATAAATTTTCATCTTGAAAAATATCAGTTGAAGAATTGAAGAATTGAAATCCATAAAAGGATTATTAGCCTTGGTCATCTTGCTAATATATCCACAGTGCTTCACTGAACCTGATTAGAGATTGGGTTATAATTGATGGTTAAAGCTTTTAGATTTTTCAAATTATCGAGGCAGGGAAGAGGTGCCAATAACCTCGATAATTCTCATTATTTATCGGACTATTCACTTCTTAACACTTCAGATTTGCGAGTCATTATTTGAGATATTATGATAGGAAAAAATCGCTTCGAAGCTAATCCCATATCTCTATCACCATTAATCTAAAACTAAATAAAAATGTAAATTCTTGTATTTATTTCACACTTCGTCAGATATTACGAGCACATGTTCTACGCGAAAAGTGCCGTCTGCTAAATTTTTCTCTACGCCGTTTTTTTCTTTAAAATTTGAATAAAGTATCCGATTTTCTTGTATTTTCATACAATTTAGAGTACTGGTTATGTGTCTTTATATTTTATTTTTGGTTTATTTGGCTCGTTTTCACTTTATTTCTCATTTTAAGGCATGGCCTTCATGGCATTTGATGGAGTGGATATCTGCTCCCAATTCTATCTATTTAGGGATATGTGATTAGCCAAATCAGTGACCATATAGTTCTAACATCTACATTATTTCATCCCTTACAATACATAGATTTTTGTCACAAAAATTCAGCACATTTTTATCCTGAAATTTTCTTGAAATTCAGCACATGTTTTTCATGACCCAACAATGTGCTTTTTGTTGTTTTACATGATTGAGGAATCGTGTAATCATTAAATGATTACAATATTTTTTGATAGGGATGAGCATAATCATTTTCACTAATCCAATTGAACACTTCTATCATCACAAGCAATATTTTATAGAAGTTATATTAGGTTCTCATTTTTTCAAACCCCAAAATGCTCAATTTTCTGAACCCAATCTAAATTATCAGAAGATAAGAGACCCATGGTGATTTTTCACGACTGATCGCTGGCATACCGGCAGATTTGCTTTTCTCACATGGAAGCACAATCGGGTAATTTTTCACAGAAAATTAATGATCTTTTCTAGAGAAATATATCCAAAGACATAGGCTTATCTGATAACGCAATAACACAAGACGAATGAGATATTAGCCTATATTCACCTCGAAACCGACCTTTCTGAAATGAGTTTTATCATATGGCATCAAATGGGATTCTATAAATGTTTAAAACATGTTAGATCACCCAGAGTCTCCGTTATCGCATTCAAACTGATGACTTTTTACACTTCTTACCCAAAATGAAAGTTTAAATACTAGTATTTGGCATATCTATTTCACTGAAGCCTATAAATCGTGGCTAATGGCAAAGATAGGCGAAATTTGTGTGATTCTGATCATTCTGATAAAGGTGCTTACCAGCGACTGAAAACAAACGGCACTTATTTTCATACTCATAATAGAACAAAACCGAAAGAAAACTCAAGGAATTAAACTAATAGGCATTAAGTCAATACTCTGAATTTTATAAAAATGCTAAAAAATCAGGTTGTTTATTCAAATTTTTGAGAGAAATAGTGCAAAGTATGACAAGCAGACGGCATAAGTAATGAGGGTAGTGGCTTAGAGTAGCATGAAGATATTGCTAAATGGGAGAGCTATCATCATATAATTCCACCTCTCAGTTAAAATAATTGTTCGGTCTTGTTAATTTCTCGCCTTTCCTCTCTCTGGCAGATTTTGATAATCCATGGATCATAATTCTGTCATTTTGAAAATTAAGAATATTTACTCAGATATAAAGAGTTAGTGTTCTCATTTAAAGGCGTTCACAAAGAGAGCTTCTTATAGTGCCATTTTGGAATATTCCAAAAATAAACTCTAAAGCTGTTCATCCAAATTTTAATTCTTAATTTCATACTTGTTGTAAGTTTTATTAAATAGATCTTTTCTTCATTAATTTTACGAAGATGTCAGCATGTTTATAGAAAACCTTATAATTTCAAATGAACATGAATTATATTTCAAGGTACACTCCCTTTATTATCTAAAGCGACAATGCATAAAATCAAATGAAAATAGAAAAATGTGAAATATCACTAAATTGAAATATTAGTTCAATCGAACATTGAGAAAAATAGTAGAATATTCATAATTAGAGGTTATCCTCTTAAAAACATTTTGTTTTTATAAAAGATGGGAGTGTGGAGGTTTTATATCAATATAGAATTTTTTCATTTGATTTTCAAGAAAGACTCAAAATGGCTTTCTGCAAAATTGATAGCTGGTAATGAATTCAATACTTTGATTAAATAAATCCATAAAGATGTAAGGTATTTGTCAATATGAATATGTTTTTAGTCCCAAATCTGTCCCCTCTCCCATTTATTTACCTGTTTATAAAAATGTGAACACTTTCTAATTCAAACACTTTTGCCCTAGATACATTCGAATTAGACAGGTTTTACTGTATTTTATGATGTTTAGGTAATTGAAGGTCTAAAACAGCAACATTTATACACAAATCAATGAGACAGGGCTTATGAACGACCCACCACGAACAATTAGTGAATTTAACGCCATTAGAGTCCTTATAGCAATCTATTGAAAAGAAAACTTAAAATTTATATTTTATTGTTTCAGCTCTGAGGTTTTGCTGCATGAACTGCGGTGTCAAGTTCAGTAATCCAAGCACGTTAGAAGCACACGCCACGTTCTACTGCACAAAGCGCCATCTAGTGGCTCCATCTATTGAACGCAACAGTATCAGCCCTGAATCTGGTATGTCAGAATCCAAAAGTGAAGGTGAGTGTGCGTGATATTTTGGGAAGTTGCATGCCTGTTAAATCGATTTTCCAGTAAAACTTTGAACATGGAAAGGCTGTTCCAAAAGTTTTATGCATTACAAATATATCTCAAGGTTCAGCTGGTAAGTAACATTTTGGTAAAAAATTGCTATACATGTTATTTCTGGTCCAAAATTTAGTATGAAGGCATTTGTATATTTCCCTGTTTTTTCAGGAAAGTATCATGACATTGTCTACTTTTAGTAAAGCTGGAAACATGTCTTCATACTTTATAGTGTACCAGAAAATAACATGTGCAGGTATAGCAATTTTTTACCAAAATCTTATTTTCCAGCTATACCTTAAAATACTAAACACATGTGCATATGTATTTCTTGTAAAAGTTCAATGCCTGATCAAACTCTGGTGCATACATACAAGTTGTCCTAGAAGTAACAGGTCTTGTCCTGGTATCTTGTTAATTCAGGACACCCTGTATATAATATACTATCAAGTTTATCGCACGAAGATGCAAATACATGTATGATCAATTGAGTTTTCCTTATGGATTTTTTTATTTTTTATTTTTCAGATGGTTTGAACTATCCAACCAAAGCTATTTCACCCTCCTTAAATCAGGACTCAGTTGACCAATCAGACAACAGTATTCGAGAGAATGGCGATCAAGAGTTTGATGACGCTAAATCGATCAAAGCCTTCAAGTGTAATGAATGTACATATTCGGCAGATAAAAGAACAAGTCTGAATCGACATATGAGAATTCATGGGGCAAACGATGATAAATCGGAACCAAAAGCGAAGCCCTTAAGCAAAGATGAGCTTGCCGAAATGCGCTGTAACAATTGCAATATTCAATTCACATCGAAGAAAACATTTTGGGGGCATAAGGAATATTATTGTCAGTTAAGACATCGAAAGCCTGATCATTTGTCGCCTACCCAAGCCAAAACGCCATCTAGCGAGAGCTCTATTTCTCCGCCACCAACAGCTTCAAACCACCTCCAGCAGATGGCAGCAGTGATGTCTTCCCATAATGCACCTGGTTATCCAAATGTAACAGCTCTGTCTGCATCGCAGGTCGTCACACCAGAGCAAATCGCATCTATCCAATCACAGTCTTCCCAGATGACAGTTGTCGTGGCAACCCCAGTTGTTTCACCAGATGGCAGCACTAGCATTGTAAACGTCCCAACGGTCATTATGCAACCTGTTATTGCTCCCTTGCCTAATATGGTCAAAGCGCATCAAAAAGAATCAGCTTCGTCATCCAAATGTCCCGCTGAACAACCACTAGATTTAAGTGTTAAGAAGGAACCACAAAGTCCCCCTCAGGAACGTATCAGTGTGAAAAGTCCTAGTATAAATAGTCCAAGGAAACCAGTTCCTGGTTATGAACAGCCACATGATTTAAGCACCAAATCAGGACCTTCATCCCCGAGAAGTTTGAGTACTCCAGGAAGTGCTCCCGTGACACCAGTATCGCCATCTGCTGGGCATAACTGGCCTACACCAGGGGTGGGGTTAAAGGAGAAGACTACCCAAAGGCCTAGTTCCCATAGTGTGGCATCTATGTTATCCCCGGGGTCAGGGGGGAGTCTTTCACCCCCCTCAACGCCCGGCAGCCAAGCTCCCATACAGGGCATCAGCAAGTGTATGGATTGTAATATTGTGTTCTACAAACACGAGAATTACGTGATTCACAAAGAACATTATTGTTCGGGCAGGCGTGTAAGACGTCCCGTTATTCAGCAACAAATGATTTATGATCAGAACGATGTTGAACCAAAACGTATCAAACTAGATCACCCACCACCAGATGACAGCACTAGCAGAGAAAAACCCATATCGCCAAAAGAAAATTCCCCATTGCAAGCAGTCCCACCAAAGTTTTTACAATTTTACTGTGTACCATGCAAGATCAAATTCAGCTCCCCCGACACTTTGAAGGCGCATCAACAGTATTATTGTCCATATGCAGGGATTCCCGCAGAGATCCCCACTGCACAGGAAGTCAAGGCAAACATGCGAGAGGATTCTCCTGATGAACCAGGCCCGGAGTATGGTTGTATGCAATGTGGCAACATTTACCCTTCTAGTCGATTGCTGAAAGCCCATCATTGCGCGATACTTGATGTTCAGCTAGTCGCATGTCCCCATTGTGATTATGTCGCCCAATCAGATCAGAGATTAATCGAACATTTAAAGGCACATTCCCCATCTAAAGCCTATAAGTGTACAATATGTGGTTACCGTGGAAACACTGTGCGTGGAATGCGCATGCACGGGAAAATGCATATTGACGCAGGAGAACAATTCACTGATGAAAATATGATAGAATTTGAGGAGCCGCCATTAATCCCAAAGCTCCTACGCCACCGCCCTAGCCAACCAATCACAAACGGCGCTCAGATGGAGGCGGAATTGATCCGGATTAAGAATGAACCATACAAGAGAAGACGATCTCGTAAAAGTTACGAGAAAGCAGAGCATATCCCTGGAAGCAATATCCCTTTAAGGAGACACGCCCCTCATATGTGCGTGACGTGTAACCAAGTGTTTTCTGATACGACAAAGTTGCGGGCACATATGAGAATCCATGAAGAGGAATCTTTGCAGTTTGCATGTAAACAATGTGATTATATCGTCAACAGCAAAGCAAACTTAGTAAGACATGTTAAGGTAGTTCATGAGCTATATAGTCGACCATGGGTAAACGAGGGACAAAATGATTCAGACAAAGAGGCAAACCAACAGGATGATGATAACCCGAAAGAAAACACAATTCCTAGAACACATAATAGCCCATCTGAGCCAATCAGAGACAATCATAGGGAGAGGACGCCATCTGGTGAACCATTACATAAACACATCAAAGTAGAAAATAACAATCTTGTTGATAATGGAGATGAACGAACAAATCAGGACATGTTTAAAACAGAAAAAGTTAATGGTGCAATTTTAAGCCGACCTGCCTCAAGGTCATCGGCCCCGAGAAGCCCTGTTGTCAAAGTGGAAACCCCACAGCCAGTCAAAGCAAATGGCTCTCATTTAACCCAAGAAGAGATCCTCCAAAGAAAAAATGATAAAAGTAGTGCAATGTACTGTCAAAAATGTGATATAACTTTCATGTATTATTCCTCTTTCATTGCGCATAAGAAGTATTATTGTATGTCCCATAATGAAGAAAATATTGCCCAACAGGGGGAGCCACTATCTGAGGCAGTAGCATAGTGACATCTATATATGAAATTAATTATTGCCTCATATACACATATAGCGCAAAATAAATACAATGGATGTAGCTAGTTATTGAGACAGACAGGGCAAATCCAATATTTTATTGAATAATATAAGATTTCACCAAAACTTTGTCCTATAGTAACATACACTCTTCTTTTAGCCTCTTCTGTATAAATTTGCATTTATCTTTTGTTGTTCCTGACTGTGACATTGTTTGACTGTATTATCGATATTTTATTTAAAATGAACAAATAATTCTCAGACATAAGAATAGGGTGCCATCTATTTAAAAGTATTAAAATCATATTTTGCCTGCAATACTGTATTTGTACCTTTCACCTAGTTTTATTTTTTGAAAATTGACAAAACTATTGCCAAACCCCCAGGTATAAAGGTTTTTGGCAGAAATACATTAAGTTTATTAATATAACTGATTACCTGTATTTGTTAGCAAATATTGGAAATGTGTTCTTTTTCTCAGTTACACTCCCCTCCATAAGTTTGGCAATCGGAACATTTTGTTGGATTGCATATCAAAGCCTTGCATTATTTGAAGTTTGTTCCTTAATTACAACTTTGATGAATTCTGTCAAATCGACAAATACAAACAAGCTTTGATAAGGCTAATGGGAACCTCTGGTAGCCAAACTTGTTTGTTTTTTTTAGTGTTCATTGGAGGGAGTTTAATTATCATATTGACTTCTGTAAAATACTCTTACATATATATTTTACACATTCACTCCAATTCACACACATCCGTCCTCATTCATTCCATATCTTATTGTCATTTTCCAAACTTGCCAAACTTATGAAGGGGGGTGTAGTAGAGAGAAAAATGATATTGAATGAAAGATCAGGGAAGCATTACATTTGTGTTCAGTTGTACTAAAATCTGGCAAAATAACCAGTTACTAATATTTTTAAAATGACCAAGATCAGTGCGAATAGTGCCAGATTAATTGTAAAAACAGTAAATGTGAGGAATATCTCGACTTGAATGAATAGCAATAAGTGGGTGAAAAACTAGTCGACTATGGATGTTCTATGGGTACATACACACAGGGAAGCATTTCATTGTTCCAAGGTTATGAGCTTTGAAACCTTTAGATAAACTCACTATTCGATTTCTGAGACATTCTTATAATGTAAGCAGCATTTCCCAAAATGGGAGACCTTGTGCCGTTACTTATTGTACAAAATTTACATTACATTCAAAAATAAGAAATCCTCATCAGCCTACAAGAATATGGCGAGTGCTCTGTGTATATTGTAGCATAATGTAGATAGAGTAAATGTCTTGTGCTGTTGTATAATTTTATACAATTACATTAATTAAATTACAATTAATTACATTAATTAAATTGAATGTAAATTATAAGTACATGTATGTGTGACATTTGATGTTGTACTTTATTGTAGCAGTCCATTGGACATGAATCCCAAGGAAATATGGCCATTTAGAACATTGTAAATTGATCATATTGTAAATTGGCAAGTGATCATATTGTAGGTATAAGAACAATGATTGTAAGTAGATCCCTGGAAAAATAAGTTATGGGGACAGTAATGTCTGATGCACATGTTCAAGTTCCCAGAGAAAATGTAACTTAATCTCCCAATTGCTGCTTAAAAACTTCTCAGAACAATTATTTAACCTTGACTGATTTGGATAAAACATCATGAATTGAAATCAATGATAACGATAATATCAATACTATCAATGATAACAGTAGTATCAATGATAACAATAATATCAATGATAACCGTAGTATCAATGATAACAATAATATCAATGATAACAATGGTATCAATGATAACAATAATATCAACGATAATAACAATAATATCGATGATAACAACAATCTGATATTTTGAATGTATTTGAAGTCAATCAACATTTTGAAACTTCTAGTCAAATGAATATTGTGTGATAATGTGATTTTAGATTTTCTTGTGCAATATAATCGAATGAACACTATGTTTAAATTAGTGAAAAAATTGGAATGTATGAATGTGTTGATAAATGCTCTGGCAAGTGTTCCTTCATACTGTATATTATATTCTTAAGGGAAATGTATGCCAAAAAATTCTAAAAATACTATTCCTTTAATAATTTATCTTGAGCGTGTTAACAGACTTATAACACTCCTTGTTATAAGTATGGAAATTAGTCTTGTTATACTGATTATAAATTGGTGTACAATATGGAAAAACTGGAATTCTATGAAGTATACAGAATAAAGCATATGTAAACGACAGTATATATTGGATTTGTCTTACAGTCTACAGTTTGTTTGCATATTTGTTTATTATCCCACCAAACAAAGTTTGAGGGGGATATAGGAAAGTCATAATAACTCAAATACCGATTGACGGATTTGATTCAAATTTTATAGGCTTATGCCTTATGGTTGTAGGACCTCTGCTTGAGAAGGAATTTTCAATATGGCTGCTCAATTCAAAATGGCCACCATTTTTTGTTAAAATGTAATCTATGATAACTCAATTACTAGTGGACAGATTTGGTTCCAATTTTATATGCTTATGCCTAGGAACAATGGAGCTTTTGACAAGGCATTAACATGACAAAATGTCACCACCTAGTTGCTCACAATATTATGAGTTCAAACTCTAGTCAGATTTGAATTTCTGAAAACTTGTAAAGTCAAATTTGAACTTCTGAAAAGATGTAGATGATTTTGAAAAAAAAATTTGGTCAATTTGAAGCAAGTTGAAAACAGACCTTTTTGACCTTTTTTGACCTTGAGAAGGTCATTAAAGGTCAAATGTCAAATCTAAAGTCAGATTTGAATTTCTGAGAACATGTAGATGATTTTGAAAAAAAAATTAGTCAATTTGAAGCAAGTTGAAAAAAGACCTTTTTGAACTTTTTTGACATTGAGAAGGTCATTGAAGGTCAAATGTCAAATCTAGAGTCAGATTTGAATTTCTGAGAACACGTAGATGATTTTGAAAAAAAATTTAGTCAATTTGAAGCAAGTTGAAAAAAGACCTTTTTTGACCTTCTTTGACTTTGAGAAGGTCATTGAAGGTCAAATGTCAAATCTAGAGTCAGATTTGAATTTCTGAGAACACGTAGATGATTTTGAAAAAAAATTTAGTCAATTTGAAGCAAGTTGAAAAAAGACCTTTTTGACCTTCTTTGACTTTGAGAAGGTTATTGCAGGTCAAATGTCATTGAAGGTCAAATGTCAAATCAAAAGTCAAATCTAAAGTCATATTTGAATTTCTCAGAACATGTAGATGATTATGAAAAAAAATTTAGTCAATTTGAAGCAAGATGAAAAAATACCTTTTTGACCTTTTTTGACATTAAGAAGGTCATTGAAGGTCAAATGTCAAATCTAGAGTCAGATTTGAATTTCTGAGAACACGTAGATGATTTTGAAAAAAAATTTAGTCAATTTGAAGCAAGTTGAAAAAAGACCTTTTTGACCTTCTTTGACTTTAAGAAGGTTATTGCAGGTCAAATGTCAAATCTCAAGTCAAATCTAAAGTCAGATTTGAATTTCTGAGAACACGTAGATGATTTTGAAAATTTTTTTTAGTCAATTCGAAGCAAGTTGAAAACAGACCTTTTTGACCTTTTTTGACCTTGAGAAGGTCATTAAAGGTCAAATGTCAAATCTAAAGTCAGATTTGAATTTCTGAGAACATGTAGATGATTTTGAAAAAAAAAATAAGTCAATTTGAAGCAAGTTGAAAAAAGACCTTTTTGACCTTTTTTGACCTTGAGAAGGTCATTGAAGGTCAAATGTCAAATCTAAAGTCATATTTGAATTTCTGAGAACATGTAGATGATTTTGAAAAAAAATTTAGTCAATTTGAAGCAAGATGAAAAAATACCTTTTTGACCTTTTTTGACCTTGAGAAGGTCATTGAACGTCAAATGTCAAATCTAAAGTCAGATTTGAATTTCTGAGAACATGTAGATGATTTTGAAAAAAAAATTTAGTCAATTTGAAGCAAGTTGAAAAAAGACCTTTTTGACCTTTTTTGACATTGAGAAGGTCATTGAAGGTCAAATGTCAAATCTTAAGTCAAATCTAAAGTCAGATTTGAATTTCTGAGAACAAGTAGATGATTTTGAAAAAAAAATTTAGTCAATTTGAAGCAAGTTGAAAACAGACCTTTTTGACCTTTTTTGACCTTGAGAAGGTCATTGAAGGTCAAATGTCAAATCTTAAGTCAGATTTGAATTTCTGAGAACACGTAGATGATTTTGAAAAAAAAATTTAGTCAATTTGAAGCAAGTTGAAAACAGACCTTTTTGACCTTTTTTGACCTTGAGAAGGTCATTGAAGGTCAAATGTCAAATCTAAAGTCAGATTTGAATTTCTGAGAACATGTAGATGATTTTGAAAAAAAAATTTAGTCAATTTGAAGCAAGTTAAAAAAAGACCTTTTTGACCTTTTTTGACTTTGAGAAGGTCACTGAAGGTCAAATGTCAAATCTTAAGTCAAATCTAAAGTCAGATTTGAATTTCTGAGAACACGTAGATGATTTTGAAAAAAAAATTTAGTCAATTTGAAGCAAGTTGAAAACAGACCTTTTTTACCTTTTTTGACCTTGAGAAGGTCATTGAAGGTCAAATGTCAAATCTAAAGTCAGATTTGAAGGTCAAATGTCAAATCTAAAGTCAGATTTGAATTTCTGAGAACATGTAGATGATTTTGAAAAAAAATTTAGTCAATGTGAAGCAAGTTGAAAAAAAAGACCTTTTTGACCTTGAGAAGGTCATTGAAGGTCAAATGTCAAATCTAAAGTCAGATTTGAACTTCTGAGAACATGTAGATGATTTAGAAAAAAATTGAAGTCAGTCTAAACAGTATTTGTTAAGTTATAGGAAGTTGTAAGAAATTGTTACAGACGCCGGACGCCAACCGCCGGACGCCAACCGCCAACCACCAACCCCCGGACGCCGTCGCAAAAAAACGGAGACCATAACAATATGTCACCACTTTTGGTGGTGACATAATAAAAATGAAATCCATTTTTTGAAAAAAGAATCAATTTTTTCTCAGTCTCTAGTAAAACAGACTCCAATTCTTCCAGAATCACAAGGACCACTCCCAATAATTTTGCCCCCTGAGGTAACCACTTTTTGCTAATAGTCAAGTTTCCTCATTCTATAAGTCACCATGGTAATAATCTTTCAGCATATTCAGATAACTTGTATTGGTTTCTTCATTTGTTTGATAAGTTACCATGGTATTAAATTTCCAGCATAAACATATGAAGTTGCATTTGTTTCTTTATTCAATCCCTCCATAACTTTCGGCTTTGTATAAAAAACCTCCTACCTCATACCCACCTAAGTGGGACATGATACAGTCATTGAAGGGTTCAATTTTTAAGATTTTTAAATCTCAAAATAGCTCTAATTATTAACATTTCTACAATTCCGGCTTTATTTTATGACTTGACGGATGACAAATCCATAAATAAAGGCATATGGGTGCATTGTAATGTGTAATGACCCGAGGGCGCCCCAGTGGAATAACTAATTAACGACTGCAAGCATAGGTCCAACAAGCCAGATAAAGAAATTGAAAGAAAGTGTGCTAAATTCAATGCCCAAAGTGGGAATAGAACCCAGGTGGGATGTAGTAGCAACTCGCTCAAAGCCCGGGTAGGTGGGTATGAGGTAAAAAGTTCTTTATACAAAGCCGTCTTATTTCATTGATACTTTTGTTTATGGATTTTATATCATCCTTAGTGGCCATAGTTTGTTCCATAGATAGTATCATATCATGGATGTCATTTAGGGTTGCATTTTTAGAGCTAGATGCTGAACTTGAGCGTGTGCTGCTTGCCATTGTGTCTTTAGCATGTAGTACAAAGAAAGTGTTTATCCTACCAAGTTTTTGCTGTCCAATATCTGGGCAGTTATTGTTGCTTCATTTGTTTATAAATATCCAAATGTATCCTAGTATTATATGTGTGTCATATTATATCCTTATTTATGTTACTAAATGTATTGGATAGATAATAATTTCATATACTGTTAAAAAGCTAAGCATAAAATTGAGATAAAATATTCATGTTTTGATTGTGATTATCATTTGTATTTTACTACACGAAGGCTCCATAACATTCAATGCATACATTATAATATACTAATTCTCATGATCTATTAGCTTGTGTATATCAAAAATTCGAACATGACTATCAACGCCTTCTATAAATTGTGAACAAAGTTACCCGGTGTATATTTGTCGACACACCACCTGGTAATATGAGTAATGTGTGACGTCATAACGGCGGGACATCGTAATGGTGGGCCACCATGAATATTCGAAAATTGTTAGTGAGTTTCCATGTTCGAATCGTAATATATACCTCAGAGCAGGTGTTATATTGACCAGATACCTCAGGGCAAGGTACAAAGCCTTTTGAACCCCTCACTCCCTTCGGTCGTTTGGGTTACAGAAAATGTTTGAATATTTGAATATCTTTTGTACAATTGTCTATTATGCACAATTATCAATAGTCAAAAACGTGGGAATTCAAATGGTATCAGTATAAGATATTTATTACATACAGTAATTGTACATCTTTGTACAATAACAAATCAACAACAAGGCATTAGCATGCAAAATGTCACCACCTGCCATTTGTTACAGACGCTGACTGCAGAACACCAAACGCCAAACATCAACCGCCACAGACCGTCCACAAAAAAGTTGTTGGAGACAATAACAATATATCATCACTTATGTGACAAAAAAATACAGTTTGATGTCCAATTTTTACAAGGTGAGCCAAAAAACATAACCGAACAAATGTTAACTAACTTAGTCATCCTGCATGGTTTTATGGTAATATTTCTCACAATTAAATCTTGTTAAATGTTCTTTCATTCTACCACCGTTTCATTTGTCTACTTGAAGCAGTTAAATCAATACTAATTGTAGTGCACGGGTAGTTTACAACAATTGATCATTATGTTTTAGCATGCTTGTTTTCTTACCCTGGTTTCAATTTTCAGCATAATCATCAATGTAGCAGTGTTCTCCGCAGGATTTTTTCTCAAGTGGGTGCAAAATTCATATTTTTTACAATGTAGACCTTTGATCAAAAGGTGACCTTTTCATGATTTTTCTCATTTTCAAGTGGGTGTAAATAGATTCTCAAGTGGGTGAAAATAGATTCTCAGGTGGGTGTAAACCAGCAGGGCAATAGCCAGGGGGGATAGATTGGTTCCCCCCTGGCCAAAAATTCTTTCAAAACATGCAGTTTTTCACCATTCTGAGCAGTTTTTAAGTGATTTTGGCCATTTTTGGACCAATATTGTCAATAGTGAACCCCCTAGAATTTTTCAAAAAGTGAACACCCCTTGGCAAATCCTGGCTCTGGCCTGACCAGTTATTAATATCTCAGTTGGGTGGAGTGCCCATTTGCTGTAATGATGGGGAGATCACTGCTATAGTTTTGTGCATCAAACATTTGGAACAACCATACAATATGAGCGTGGAATTTTTTGAGATTTTTTATCAAATAAAAATAAAACTGTAAAAATCAAATGTTTAAATATATCTCAGTAAGCCTAAATGCCTCATTTAATTCTTGCCTCATTTAATTCTTGCCTCATTTAATTCTTGCCTAAACTCATTCTTGCCTCAACCAATTTTGCCTCACACAATCTGAAAGTAATTTCTTTAATTGTCCAGCAATTGTATAATTAATGGGCATCTCACTAGAACATTTGCTATAAAGGATTACCAGGCATAAATACTTCAGCACAATCATACAAGATCCTAGCACCGGGCTACAACTTTTAAGCACAATCATATCTTTGTCAGATTGTGTGCGAAATTCTCAGCTTAGTAAAAATATGCATTATAAGCATGGAATATCACATTTGAATCAAAGTCATGACTATCCTCATTTAGGTTACCATGGTATCAATTTTCCAGCATAATCATAGAAACTTGCATTTGTTTCTTCATTCTATGAGTTACCATGGTAATAATCTTCCAGCATATTCAGAGAAACTTGCATTTGTTTCTTAATTCTATAAGTTACCATGGTATTAACTTTCCAGCATAAGTTACCATGGTATAAACTTTCCAGCATAATTATATAAACTTGCATTTGTTTCTTAATTCTATAAGTTACCATGGTATTAACTTTCCAGCATAAGTTACCATGGTATAAACTTTCCAGCATAATTATATAAAGTTGCATTTGTTTCTTCATTCTTACCATGGTATTAACTTTCCAGCATAATCATAGAAACTTGCATTTGTTTCTTCATTCAAGCCTTGCATAACTTTCAGCATTCCCGATATGGATTCACTCGATTCGATTAGGGCATTTTTCGTTCCGATATCGGTGAGCACCCATCCAGGATGCACCACTGTTGCTAGGATACCATCCTTAAACAAATCACGTGCCAGGGATACGGTGCAAACATTTAAGGCTGCCTGAAATGCATAAATAAAAAGGCATCATAAAACATGGAATTGTTCTAGTACACTGGACCAACAGGAGGAGAAATGCCATACAGTTGGACTCAAAATATCCACCATCTAGTTTCTGAATAAAACACGCTGTTGTAATGTTGTAATTTATGCAAACATATATGTACTCCTTACATCTCATTGTATGTTGTATTTCTTGTTAAGATATATATTTCCCGTTTGATATACAATAAACCCTGTATCCAAAACCTCCTATAACATTATAACCCTAATATTTTGACATGATATAAATGTAATAACAAGCTATAACTAGATAATGGCAACTCCGCGGAGTAGCAAATCCCAACGAACAAAATATCAATTACCGAATTCCAATCAATTATACTCATTACTTTGGTTAAAATTGAAAAATTTAGATTTTAGAATTGCGAATTCCTGCAAAGCAGCCATTTTGAATTTTCTGAGGTACAAATCTGAAAAATAATACCATAATTGTGATCTACTCCAAAATTCCTTCAATTTGAGTATTATATAGCCATACGTTGAAGGGATCGAAAAATTATTGCGAAATCGTACATTAGACGGCCATTTTGAATTTTACGAGGCTCAAATCAGAAAAAGATACAATATTTGCAATCTACTCTTAATTGCCTTTCATTTGAGTACAATAAACCTATACTTCAGAAAGATCTACAAATTAGCGAAAATTTCTGTTTTCCTGACCCCCCATACACGGCCCCTGGGGGTCAGGATGAAAAACACAGAATATATGTGAAATAGATAGATGTTGCGAATATACTACCAAAATTTCAAACAATAATATTAATTACTTTGGTTTAGAATGAAAAATTTATGATTTTTGCGAAAAAGTCCCGTCATTTTTTAAGCAGCGGCCATCTTGAAAAAAAATTTTTTGCGTAAAACTTTTCATCAATATACATCTTTCCACCGAATATGAAGAAAATCTGTCTACTAATATTTGAGTTATCTTCCGGACGGACGGACGGACGGACGGACTGACGGACTGACAGACTGACGGACTGACGGACGGAGGGCTTCACTATATCCCTACCGAACTTCGTTCGTTGGGATAATTATTACATAAGCCAGAATTACTTCAAATTAACATTTTACTACTACTTTAAGCTTTTTACAAAATGAGGTGTGTCAGTCATAGACCAATAAGAAGGGGTGCATCTTTTAAATGAAGCTGGATTCTTTGAATTATGGGGTAACCACTCCCCCCCACACCCCCCTATTGTCCAGGGGTTGTATGTAATGGAAAATTTACTGATTTTCACAAATTAAGATTAAAATGTAAATGTACACTGATGATAAAACAAAATGAACAATAATCTACTAATTATGAAAACTCATTATTTTTTACAGGCCGAGGGTAACAAAGGCCCAGGTATGGTATGACAAATGATTTTAGACAGCCACATCTAATTTTACCATAACTACAACATATCTTATCAAAAAATGTTTCCCTCGTTGTAAGGTCCCCAAAATAATGTGAGTAATACATTGACGAAATATTATAAGGGCAGGTTTAGTAATGACTAAGGTAATGTTGTTCAGTTTCAAATTGGTTAAGTATAGCAAATACGGTATGTTTTCAACACCATACCTACTGATGCAAAAAAAGTACAAATCACCGGCAAATTGTTAACAGCAATTTTAAACACAGGAAGTCACATGAACATGTACCTTGCTTGCTCTGTAAGCATACAATCCTCCTCTTTTGTTGTCATCGCATGAACCAACCTTTGATGACACATTGACAATCGCTGCCCTTGCCCAGCCCAGTGGGGCGTCTTTCTGAGCATCCGCTGCACGCTTCAGTAAGGGAAGAAATGCCTGAAAGAGGAAAACAATATGCATTCATCTTTGATGACACATTGACAATCGCTGCCCTTGCCCACCCCAGTGGGGCGTCTTTCTGAGCATCCGCTGCACGCTTCAGTAAGGGAAGAAATGCCTGAAAGAGGAAAACAATATGCATTCATCTTTGATGAGACATGGATAATTGCTACCCTTGCCCAGCCTAGTGGGGCGTCTTTCTGAGCATCCGCTGCACGCTTCAGTAAGGGAAGAAATGCCTGAAAGAGGAAAACAATATGCATTCATCTTTGATGAGACATGGATAATTGCTACCCTTGCCCAGCCTAGTGGGGCGTCTTTCTGAGAATCCGCTGCACGCTTCAGTAAGGGAAGAAATGCCTGAAAGAGGAAAACAATATGCATTCATCTTTGATGACACATGGATAATTGCTACCCTTGCCCAGCCTAGTGGGGCGTCTTTCTGAGCATCCGCTGCACGCTTCAGTAAGGGAAGAAATGCCTGAAAGAGGAAAACAATATGCATTCATCTTTGATGAGACATGGATAATTGCTACCCTTGCCCAGCCTAGTGGGGCGTCTTTCTGAGCATCCGCTGCACGCTTCAGTAAGGGAAGAAATGCCTGAAAGAGGAAAACAATATGCATTCATCTTTGATGACACATTGACAATCGCTGCCCTTGCCCACCCCAGTGGGGCGTCTTTCTGAGAATCCGCTGCACGCTTCAGTAAGGGAAGAAATGCCTGAAAGAGGAAGACAATATGCATTCATCTTTGATGACACATTGACAATCGCTGCCCTTGCCCACCCCAGTGGGGCGTCTTTCTGAGAATCAGCTGCACGCTTCAGTAAGGGAAGAAATGCCTGAAAGAGGAAAACAATATGCATTCATCTTTGATGAGACATGGATAATTGCTACCCTTGCCCAGCCTAGTGGGGCGTCTTTCTGAGAATCCGCTGCACGCTTCAGTAAGGGAAGAAATGCCTGAAAGAGGAAGACAATATGCATTCATCTAAGAGCAAAGGTGGTGGTGTTTGAGGGGGTGGTTTGAACCCCACCCTAGCCAAAAATTGTTTCAAAATCTTGCAGTTTTTACCATTCTCAGCATTTCTCAAGTGATTTTGGCCATTTTTAGGCCAAAGTTGTCAAAAACGAACTCCCTTGGAATTTTTCAAAACAAAAACATTGAAAAATGCTTGCTATACAGGCCTACATCCAGTTGAAGGAAATCAAAGATTAAATACAATTTCTATGCACCTCATCCTCAAGTGGGTGCGGATTTTTCATTTGCACAATTTGCACCAAATTTGCATGGTGCTTCTTACATGTGGCTATCAGAAAGAGGCAAACACCTCTTCTAACCTCTTCTGCCTCTCAATAAAAGCTAAATAAACTTAGCTCCACTCCAGAGAAGATTCAAATGTCTAGATCTTACAAAAATGTTGAGATTTCAAATAATAAACAGAATTTTTGACTTTGATCAAGCCAAATATCGTCTTCAGTCTATGGTTCATTTCAAGTGAAATGAACCATAAACCATACACATGCTTTACCTGAGAAATCAAGATAGGTGCGATAGAATTGACATCAAATGTTTTCTTCATAACTTCAGCAGTAACATCAGGAAGGTTTGTCCTTATTAGAATACCAGCATTGTTGATTAGAAGATTGAGCCCATTTTCTTCAACTATGGCTCCAACCTCTTCTGCAAGACTGGCATATCTTGATTCATCTGTGACTTCTGTAACATAGGGTTACATATTTTAAGCAATGGTAACAAATTTTGCAAATTTGCCAGTTCAGATGTTCTCAGGCGAAATATTAGTTTCATATAAATTTCAAACTGAGAACTATAATCATGGGCTTTCAATGGGAGTCAGGATGTGTATAGATGGCAGTTAACTACTACATGTGGGTTGTTCTTCACATCTGGCCCATTGGTTTGAGTGTAAATATTGCTGCTTCAAAACTTCAAATTCACTACACATATCAAATAAATATCATATTTTCCTTCATAGTATTTACAAACATGTTTTAAGATTCAAAATCAAAGGGTTTTGGATATTTTCAATCACATTTATTTTGGGGAGATTTTTGGAGCAATTTTGACATGTTAAAGTATGCTATTAAACCCACTGAATTTTTCACCATCTATTGACAGTCCTGAAGGCCATTAGAAAGTTGAAAGCCCATGCTATAATGGATATATAGAGGTGGGGGGGGGGTTAGTGGGTGGATGTGAAATACACACATACAATGGCAAAGTTTGTAATTTCAATTTAGAGAATAAATACAATTGTATTTTTAAACAAAAAAACTCATACTGACCTAACTGAAGTATGTGGAGGTTACTATGACCAGCTTGAAGTGCTTGAAGGTCCTACAAATAAAACAGCAACATGTATAAGCATTTTTATAAGCATTTTTATAAGCATTTGTATATCTATATCTCAATATGCACTGTGTTACCATATATGTGGGGTGACCACTGCAATGTCACACCGGAATAACCTGACAACTGTAAAGTCAGATATCCTTGTCACAAATGGTGGACATTACCGTTGCTTCAATTAGATTTTCATGAACTGTATGTTTAATAGAGCGACTTGATTAAATTCTTTTGGTACAGCAATCACTCAAACTGTTTTTCTACTGATCATATAGTTAAAAAATAGAAATATGACACAGGACAACGCATACTGTAGTGTACAGGTAGTGAAAACAGTAATATTTGACAACGGTGTATGTAAAGACAACGGTAAAGTGTCTATTTACTGTTGTCATGTTCCAATGCAACACATCCACCATAGTCCGTTGTCACATCTTACCATATGCCGTTGTATTTGTAAATTATTTCAAATTCAGATTCCGTTGTCATAGACCATATCGAGGATCCTATGTTGTGGTAATTCACGACTCCATTTGATAGAAGTTGGGATTTCATATAGTACATCATCACAGGAGCTTAACAACATATGCACAGGCTATTCAAGTGTTATATTGCAGTGGTCACCCCACATTATAGTAACACAGTGCATATTGTGATATAAAAAACACTTAGCAACATATACAACCATTACAACCATTGCCATAGCCTTACTTCCTGCGAAAGCTATGTGGATTTTGATCTATAGCTTTCCCAGGGCGCACTTGGGCAGCTCAATAATAGTGACCTTTAAAATATGAATAAAGATTTCAGCGGCTTACTTTTGGTCTCTAACTGTGTCTTACATCAGTATCATTAATCCGTGCAAGTATTGGAGCGCTGAAATACTTCTTTTTCGATCAAGACTTGTAAATTGTTCATCGAGTGAATGTTTTATCGACCCATTTCAAATATGGCGGTTTGCTAGGAGTGAGATACACAACGATTGAAATGAATTTTGAGAATGATTTAGGTTCGGACAACCTCCGGAGATTCACGGAAATGTCCGAGCAGAAAACGCCATATTGGAATTTGGCAGTAAAAACATTCACTCAACTAACAATTACAAGTCTTTGTCGAAAAGGAAGTAATTCAGCGCACCAATACTTGCACGGAAGGATGATAATGATGTATTACATAGTTAGAGAACAAAAGTAAGCCGCAGATCGACTTAATTCGATTTCAAAGGTCACTATTAATCAGCTGTCCACTTCCCCATTTGAGAGCCATAAGTTTCAAAATCTAACATGGCTCTCGAAGTGAGTAACCATAGCCATATAAGGCTTTAACATTACCACGGTCATGACAGGACTTGCAATATAATAAAGCATTGTCACGGTCATATCAGGCTTTAACATTACCATGGTCATGACAGGCCATGCAATATAATATACATTCAGTCACAGTACAGTGGGGGACAAAAATAAAACGCAACATTCACAAGTTGTCACAATGAGCTAATTTCCAAGTTTCGTGTCTCAAACTCTCCCAAGCGGTAGAAAAATAATTCCCATTCACTAAAGTAGCACAATAAATGAATACAAAACTTCATACCTGCAAATAATGGATAAATCCCTACCAAATCGAATGAATGTTTTCATGAATCGCCATGTTTGTTATCCAAGGAAGGTTGACTCCCAGAATGCAACATCAGTTACCGTATTTACTCATGACAGGTTTCAAAATGGCGGAACAGCATTTTGAAAGCTGGCACGTGTCATGTTGCATTCTGGGAGCCAATCCTCCGTTCCGGCGCAATCGGGCGACAAAATCACCTCAACATTTGAAGAGGCGGCATAACATGTGAATATCCACTTCAACTTTTGAAGTTCTTATTTGTCATTAGGGACACAAATTCCACTATATTTGGACTTACTCAGACGGAGAAAATAGAGCACTGAATACACTGAGGTAAGAATTTATTACATGTGCGACAGCATGTAATTTTCATAGCTTTTGCAATTCTTTATGATCCCCACTGTACATGTATGTAGCAATGCTAGCATTGTCACGGTTATACCGGACTTTCACGATAACAATAGATAGCATGTGGGCGCCTGTGCTTTGATGTCATCCCCACTGACACTTACCGCAGCTTCGGCAGGGTTTCGGCAGGTAGCAAACAAGTGTTTAGGCGGTTGTTTCATCGATAAGAACTGTTTTACAAACTCCAAACCGATTCCCCTATTGCACCCTGTAATTAACACGGACCTTGGCGACATGACAATGGGTAAACGACTTGCTAATTCGAAATAACGAAGGAATTCTAATGTTTTGATTACTTTCAAGATTCAACCGGTGCGTAATACGTCATCAAATATTGCGTACAGAAGAGATGACGAAGTACACATCTGAAGTTTGGAAAGTTCTAAAAATATTTTAATAAAGTCGATTTTTAGCAGATTATGCATATAAATCTAGTCTCAAGCGGAAGATTCCCAGAAAGGTTAGTTTTATATAGATTTTGTTGCAAACGTTAACTTAGAAGTCACTACCTGTGTAGGATTCATAGTCAGACTCTAACACCTTTCAGACAAAATTTCATCAGAATCAGATTTGAGGTTGGGGGAACACTGTAACATGTGTTTTCTCATACAAATGATCCGTCATGCAGGGAGGGGGGGGGCACAACCAAATGCTATAACATGTGTTTTCTCATACAAATGATCAGTCGTGCAGTGAGGGGGGCACAACCAAATGCTATAACATGTGTTTTGTCTATGTCAATAATCTGCAAAAGGCTAGAGTAGATTTCATGGCCTGACTGTGTTGGTAGGAAGTCCCTTAATGTTGAAATACCCTGGGGCGACTGTCAGGCTACCGCGTTGACATCATACAAATGATCCGTCATGCCTCTCAGAGAGGCAGGAAGGGTCAGGAATTGACATGCTTCCAACTGTACTATAAAAATAAATTACAGTAAAACTTGTCTAAGTTGAACACCTTTGGTAGTATGTATCCAACAGAGGGAATATAATATAGAAGGTGGGTATGAGGTAGGAGGTTTATTATACAACGCCTCAGGAATTGACATTGTAATGACCCGAGGGCGCCCTAGTATGTATCCAACAGACTGACTAGAAGTCAGTCTGTTATGATGTACTACTTTCCTGTGGAAATTGCAGTGAAATTTTTTGCACAAAATTATCAATTAGGGGAACCATTTCTTCAATAAAATAAGCATTACAAAATTTCAATGAATTAGTAAGGTACAATTAAATGCGATAAAAAGAAACACAGCATATTGTCAAGTGGAAATAAAGCTAGTTGAAGTAACAAATGTGCAAATTAATTTTACCCAATCGGCCATTTTGAATAGCACTTCCTATGTAAACAAATATTTGAAATTACCAAACTTTAACATAGGTGCCTTATAGTCTGAATATAATTCAGACTAAATAGGATATAGTCTAGAGGGCGCCCCAGAGGAATGACTAACTAGGGTCATTACGACATGCTTCCAGGAACTACTGCGTACTATGAAAATTAATTACAGTTAAACCTGTCTAAGTTGGACACTTTTGGTCTGTTGGTACCTCTGAAGTGTGTTTGTGTAGTAACATTTGCTCAGATTCATCAGATGGCGCCTGGGCAATGGAGTATTTTGTTTAAAACTGAATACACAATTTGAACAAAAAAAATACTCAATCGGCCAGGCGCCGGCTGATGAATCAGAGCAATTGTAACCCGGGCATTAAGAGGTGTTCTACTCAATTTTTTAATATACTGTCAGTCAGTTGGTCTTAGGACACTGGAAAGTATTCCACTTTCAGAGGTCTTCCATTTCTGCATGTGTTCCACTTTACAGGTTTCACTGTATAGTCGGAGGTAAATGAATACTATCTTATTGATGCAATACGCTTTTGTTTCAGATTCAAGGTTAGAGCTGAATCATTCCTGGCAGGTATTGTGTGACGCAGGTATTGTGTGACGCAGGTATTGTCTGACGCAGGTATTTTCTGACGCAGGTACTGTTTAATGTAACTCAAGTGTCAGATTGTGACATTGAGAGAATATTTTGACAACATTTAGAGGACATTGTATCTAAGAGTACAACTGGATTTAACTACAACTGAACTAGGCCAGTAAAGCAGCATTTATCAAGTAACAAAAGAACTGAACAACAGAACACAATATAATTTATCCAATGACATTAGAAGCTTAGAGCATATCCAGTTACAATTACAACTGAATTCAGATCCAAAACGTACATACATATGTAAAGATGTATGCTTCATTATAAATTCAGAATTTGTTATCAGGTAAGGATACTAATTCATATTGCTTGCCAGTGAAATATTTTAAAAATGGCGCTTCAAGTGAATTGTGGGAAAAAAATCTTGCGACTTGTATTGCAGCATGAACACCTGTCAAAGAATAGGATACAACTATTGCATAGAATTCAAGCACACGGATCAACTTACCCAGCAAAAAACTTAAATTGTACTGCAAAAACTTTAAACAATCCTGCAAAAGCATTCCAATGTATTACAGGACTACAGTGCCACAATACCAAAATTATTTGTTCAAGAAACTTTTCTACAACTACTCAAAAATATAACAGTGATCAAAACGTTGATAATGATGCTAAACATGAATTAGGAAAGATGGAGCAGAAGCTAGCAATTGTATACACGTGCAAAGTGTGTCAAACAAGGTCGTCAAAAACTTTTGATAAATTATCATATGAAAAAGGAGTTGTTATAGTAACATGTCCTGGTTGTAATAGCCATCATTTAATAGCAGACAACCTCGGTTGGTTCAAAGATGTTAAAGGAAAAAACATTGAGGAAGTCCTTGCTGAAAAGGGTGAAAAGGTACAAAGGATAACTAATGATGGAACTTTGGAGGTAAATCTGAGTAAAAACAATGAATGATATTGTACCAGTTGAAATAATTGATTATAAAATATGAAAAAGGTAAAAAGGATAACAAATGATGGGAGTTTGGAGGTAAATCTGAGTAAAAACAATGAATGAAATTATACCAGTTGAAATAATTGATTATAAAATATGAAAAGGTAAAAGGATAACAAATGATTGGACTTTGGAGGTAAATCTGAGTAAAAACAATGAATAATATTATACTAGTCGAATAGATACTTGATATAGATTGCATCGCAGGTTTATCCAATAACTTCATACTCTTTTTATACATCTAATAGTCAGGGCACGCCTTAAGCGTCGGACAGCTGGTCATTATCTGGTTACTTTTGATACTGACCAGTTGATTTTTTCACTAGGTATAGGAAAATAACATTGCAACTGGTCAGTAATGCCTTTTTGACCAGCAGCTCTGGAATCCTTAGGGCATACACTGCTAATAGTCTATAAGGCATCCCCAAATATGATCAGCTTTAAACATTTTTCAACATTAGTTTACTAGAACTAGAATACTTCATTTTATAAATGCACTTTTAAATTAAAGAATTGTCTCATTAAAACAAAACTGATCAGTTAAAGCATATGTCAAAACTTGTGGTACTCGATCATGAATTCTTACTTTATCAATGGATTTAAGGCTGTGTTCTCACTGAAATAAAAGTCAATAATTTTATACATACCAGTACATGATAGTTTTGTTAAATTTATGTTAAAGGCTGTTAAGCCCTTGGCTCAAAAGGTGTGGGTGATAAAAAGCATGAATGGTTTGTATAAGATTATAAATAAGGATGCCAGCATTGGTTCAAAGGCTAGCATACTGAATTGTTCTGAATATTATAATAAGTGCATCAACTCAGAAGATAATGGTGGAATGTAAATGTAAATTACAATACATATTTTTTGATTTCATTGAATACTACACGCACATTTCCACGGATGCAAGAGTATGGGAACAATTTATCATGTTAGTTTGTTTGTCTTACAAACTTGGTATGGGCAAAAAGTGGTGACATTTTTTATGGTCTCTGTTTTTGTATGATGGTTGGCGATCAGCGTCTCTAACAAATTCTTACAACTTCCAATAACTGCTGTTCAGACTGACTTCAATTTTTTTTCAAAATCATCTACATGTTTTCAGAAGTTCATATCTGACTTTAGATTTGACCGTTAATGACCCTTTCAAGGTCAAAAAAGGTCTTTTTTCATCTTGCTCCAAATTGACCACTTTTTCAAATCATCTACAAAATCTCAGAAGTTCACATCTAACTTCAGATTTGAGCCTCAATGACCTTATGAAGGTAAAAAATTGTTGTAAAGATACCTTTATTGACACTGAGCACGTCATTGAAAGTGAAATCTCAAATTAAAGTCAGATTTGAACTTCTGATCATGAAAAAAAGATTGGTCAATTTGAAGCAAGTTGAAAAAAAAACCTTTTTGACCTTGAGAAGGTCATTGAAGGTCCAATCTCAAATTTAAAGTCAGATTTGAACTTCAATTTTTAAGTTAACCGGATTATTATTGTTCAAATCTGACTAAGATTTAACTCCGATGGTGACATTTTGTCATGTTGATGCCCCGGGGTTGATGCCTTGTTTGATAAATAAATAATTATTTGTATTATGTTTATTTGTAAATTCAACTTTATTCTGAATGATGCTATAACTTATTAATTACTTACATGTACATCTTACGTCAAATGATCGACCTGACATCTTTATTGAATATACCATGCAATGGCGTAGCCAGGAGGGGGTTCGAATATTTTCGGCAAAACTTTTTTTCAGCCACCTAACGGTGATTTTGGTAAAAACCTTTTTAAATTTACTTAATAGCTGCCTTTTTTGCTTAAATTTTGCCAAATTTGCCGAATTTGGGTTAATTTTATTACTTTTTGCCAGCTTGCCGGAATTTAGTTTTAAATTGCATGAGCAAAATCATAAGACAAGTGAAATATCCCAACTTTTGACCAATTTCGTTTATTTGGAACATTTATAGGCAAAAATCTAGAACATTTTTCAACAAAGGTCTGTTAAAATTCCAAATTATGTTTTACCACTTTGTGGATAAGTAAGAAAAATAAGTCCAAAATAAATAGCTCAGGACATTATCAGACATAGACTCCTCCTCCAAATTAATCAAGCATATGTTATGTAATTCAATTGTCTTTTTTCCATCACTTTCTCAATGTGCTCATCGAATAAATAAGAGGGAAAAAATTGCAAAGATATAAGTTCCAATGAAAGAAAACAATTTTGAAAGTTACTCCTGACCAAAAATAGAATTTTCTAGCTTTCAGGACTTTGGTGCCACGTGCCACGTACCACGTGCATTGCATCACTGAACTTTCAAATGTTCAAAATTCTCTGCTTTATATCATAAATTAGGGACCATTTTGACCTTATATCCCAATCAGACAGTTTATACTCAGTAAGTATGTTTTATTTGTACAATTGAATTCCTTTTGATGGTATCAGAACAGTATTTCAGGCCCAAAATGCAAAGTGCAAACCTATCATCGCCCATCTCAAAATAGATCGTTTTTCTTTATTCTCAGTCATTTAACTCATTGATGAGATAAAGTTGTACTTCTCACTTGCTTCCATCTTTGCATATACCTCGAATATCTATCGGTATATACCTCGGTAATCAAAAACGATAAATTAGTGAAATACTGCAAAACATTAACTGAAAATTTGGGGGTTCGCACAATTCCCGGAAAAGGTGGGTTCGGATTTTTTAGTCAGGATTTTTTTTTGGGGGGGGGGGGTTCGCACGCATCCTCCGAACCCCCTCTCCCTACGGCCCTGCCATGGGCTTTCAATTAGAGTTGAAAGCCCATGAATATACATGTACATCAGTGATTTCCGTCATTCACAATCGAGTAATTAGGAAATTTTGATTCATGTTGTTCCACTTCTGTCTTTGGTTGGAGCTCGCTACCATACTGTAGAAATCCTGGATTCTACTCAAAGGCCGGTGAATGGTTGGATCTTCGCGATTCAGACCGCTTGTCCTTCGTGAAAATAGGGAGGTGAAGCTACACGTTTTTAAGAGAACCTGTGTACGTGAGCCCGGGGTGCATGAGTGTGTAATATTTCGACCTCCGGGGATTACTTTCCCGCTCTCAATTTCTTTTGCCAGACTAATTACAATTATTTTCCGTATTCCTTTATACTCAATCGGCCAGCAAGTAAACACTACAAATGGCAGAACTAATCCATAGACCATAATTCGACACTTTCACATATGAGATTTTTAAAAAAAACATGTATCTTCCTTCCTTAATGATCAACAAATCCGTACCTGGTGCTCGAACGCGGGATTTCCCTATCCCCCATACGCTCGGCCAAAGCCTTGCCTCCTAGACTACGATGCTTAGGTGTCAATACTGTTTGGAAATGTAATAGTTGTTTTAATATTCTGCTTGGATGAACAAGAAATTGCTTTCGATATTTTGGATTTCAATAACTTATGCCCGAGTCATTTTTGGTTAAACACTCTCGATTGTCTACGAGACACCCCGATTTGTTGTAGCCGTCAATGTGCATCGACCAAGGGAAAGATCAATACCCGGTGATTTCAGCGGGAAGTGGCGTTTCGTTCAGTGGATGAGCTGCGCGCGCACGCATAAATGTGATTATCCAATATAATTAGGGGAGGGCTATTTGAAACAGTTTTTGGTCTCAGGCGCGACCCAGGGCTGTTGTCTTAAGGAAATTTCGTTGAAAATGAGCCATTCGGCTGATAATTGGTAAGAGTTTGCGATCTTATAATGTATAACTGTTACTCAGACACATATTTTGACTCGATTCTGTTGGAAATAAGCTTTGGACCGAGAGATATTCACGATTGATATGTACATTTTTGATTGTGCCATTGCTTTTCCATTGCACAATCCATGTATTGATATAAGAAACATTAATAATGCAGATTGGTTTACCTTCAATACATGACAGACACTACATATCGGTCTATTAATACCAGTTTGTGCCTTAAATAGTTTTATATTTCCATCCACGGCCTGGAGCCTGGGTGTGTTTGTCTCTTATGTGTATGCTTGTGCATGGACTTCTAATCACTAGCAGAATTTAACATGATGCAAACTCGACATTATAACTCATGTTGTAACATTTTGACTTCGCTGGAAAACAATAGGAATTATTTTTCTTGCCAATCAATCATGAATCACAATCAAAATTTCAGAATGATCAATCAGGCAATGGTCCAAATCAAGTTATAACATTATATGATATCCAGCAAGAAGTCCGGTAGAAATACAGAATATTTAAACATCAAAGCTGAAAGTTAAAAGCTAATCTGTCAATTTTCTGTCTGCAAAAGAGCGTTTACATTTGACACAATAACAGACTGAGGCTTTGAAATCTAGGATTCCCCAGGAAAATATGACGTCATACTAATTAGCATAAGGATTTCCCTATTGGCCTGGGTCGCGCCTTGTTCGAAAACACAATCCATAAATACATGCTAATTTCTAAGGAGATAGGAAGTGTATAACGTGTTTATCGATTTTGTTTAAAGATTTAATCAATTATCAAATTGTTTAAGTGGATAAAGTGGTCACACTTGCTTCAATTCATAGCGAAATCGACGGATAGAAACTGACCGAATTCCCGATATCCTACCCCGTATTACTGTAGGCTATAAGCACAGTGACCTACAGAGGGCGCTATCACAAACAAGTACTGCACGAACCGATAAATTCCCGGGTATTGTAACGCCCTTGCATCGACGTTGCAAATGCACCAAATCAATGGTTGGATTCTTGTTTGCGATTCGCGAAAACTTTGCGATTGAAAAGCATTACCTCGATGCATTTCCTCGATGACGGCCTTCTGTACCTTAGGGTCAACAATTGTCCAAGCTTTGTTGTGCTTTGGGTCGAACTCTGTAATGACGCGCGTTTCGTTAGTCTAATTTAAAATAAATATTCAACAATCGATCACCATTATGAATTGCTTTATTATCTTTTTATTGACTTCATCTTGATCAAGAATGCCAATTCCATTATACTATATCTGCAAATATCCCGAATCATCTAAGCAATTCTCTCAAGGGTTTCCATTACTCTGAAATCATAGATATATGATTGACAGATATTTACTTCGATTTCAATGAGAACTATGAAAACATTTATTGCAAAACGCTAATTATAGTATTTAAAATGCTAGGAATTGTCGCAGGCGTTTATCTTGTGACCGGATACTTATGACCGGATGCTTATTTCAATTTCACAGTTGGTTATTTCTGTAAATAATGCCCGGGTCACATTTGCTCCGATCCATTGGCCGGCGCCCGCCCTATTGAGTGTTCTGTTCAATATTGTATACAATTTTGAACAAAATACTCAATCGGCCGGGCGCCGTAGTGAAAATCGGCTCAAATGTGACCAAGGCATCAGCGATATGACGAGTCTAAATGAAACTTATCTTACATGTATTGTTACAGTTTTCATCACAAGTTGAAATACATAGGTTTCTAAACCACGAATTGCCGCATCTGTGTACACTATCGGCCTCATCGTGGTTATAGCAGGGCCATTCATTGGTGGCGGCTCCAGCACTACAGTCAACTGCAGAATATACAAAAATAACAAGAATTACAGCACGAAAAATCGTCAATATCACGACTGCTTTTGGGTTTCATAATCTACTTCGTGAAAGGTGTTACCACATGGGATTATATCGTGAGGGGTGTTACCATATGAGATTATATTGTAAAGGGTGTTACCACATGTGATTATATTGTGAAGGGTGTTACCATATGAGATTATATTGTGAGGGATGTTACCATATGAGATTATATTGTAAAGGGTGTTACCATATGGGATTATATTGTGAAGGATGTTACCACATGGGATTATATTGTGAAAGGTGTTACCATATGATATTAAATTGTGAAGGGGGTTACCATATGAGATTGTATTGTGAAAGGTGTTACCACATGAGATTATATAGTGAAGGGTGTTTCCATATAAGATTATATTGTGAAAGGTGTTACCAAATGGGATTATATTGTGAAGGGTGTTACCATATGCGATTATATTGTGAAAGGTGTTACCACATGGGACTATATTGTGAAGAGTGTTACCATATGCGATTACATTGTGAAAGGTGTTACCACATGAGATTATATAGTGAAGGGTGTTTCCATATGAGATTATATTGTGAAAGGTGTTACCAAATGGGATTATATTGTGAAGGGTGTTACCATATGCGATTATATTGTGAAAGGTGTTACCACATGGGACTATATTGTGAAGAGTGTTACCATATGCGATTACATTGTGAAAGGTATTACCACATGGGATTATATTGTGAAGGGTGTTACCATATGAGATTATATTGTGAAGGGTGTTACCATATGAGATTACATTGTGAAAGGTGTTACCATATGAAGATGATTATGATTTAGATTTAATAACAGTACAAATATACCCCCAAAATCAACATTAATTTAAGTTTTTCTCTCACCTGTCTCGCATAAGTCACCTGCATAGCCCGTCACACAGTCACATGCGCAGTTGGTAATGTTAAACGTTCCACCATTCTCACATCGCAATATGCCCGATAGGTTGGGACAATCTTTCAGATACATCTCTAGAATCAAATTAATCAACCTTGTTATATGTCGATTAGAAAAGCTGACGATAAATAATGATTATAGTAACAGAAAGATGAGGACCATGATATGACGATTTGAAAAGCTGACGATACATACGAGAACTAATGGTTTTAGTAACAGTTAGATCAGGACCATGGACAACTGGATGTTAGCTCTTTTAATGTTCAAAAACGTTGGTCAAAAGTATACTATATCCTACCCATTAATGAACTGAAAAATGTATTTGATCCATTATAATTCATCTATCCTTTAACTTACCTTGTATTCAACTGCTGGCTGACGGATTAACCTACTATTTTATGACTAACTCATTCTAATATGAATCATGCATGTCACTATTCCATTCATGTTTAATTTAGTCTGCTATAAAAAGTTGGTTTATCCGTTAGCCGACAGCCGAAAGTTACATTCGCGAAAACAAACTTACTCATGCACTTTGGAAAACAGGTTGCACTGCATTGGTTTCTGAACCATCCATTCGGGCACGAGTATGCGAATTCTGTCTCGCTCACAGAACCACACGGCCAAGCAGCCGGATCACCAACAGTACAATTAGCAGAACAATCCTTGCCGCCCCATATTCCTGAACAATCGCACGTGCAACTAGCTGAGTTCCAAACTCCCCCATTTGTACACTCAAATGGATTACATACTATAATAAGTAAAAATGTAATACCTATATTTGAATATGTGTTTGATTGGTTTAGAGGGGTTATCAGCGATCTCAAGGTAAAATAATCTGTATTATTGACGTATTATTGAATTGAATTGTCAGTTTGTTGATCAGTTATTTTATTGCTACAATTTGTTACACCTTGAACAAGTCTAATAAGCACAACTTTTATCACAATGTGAGGATGACACTATCTTGAAAAAAAGATTCGCCTGTACATATTGTATTGAATTGTATTATTTTGCATCATATTGTATTGTATTGTATTGCAGCGGCGTGCATTTATAATTCATCACATATACCTCTGACGCTATTCACATTCCCCCGACCCCATTATTTAATTAATATCAGAATATCATAAACCTACCGTCGCATGCGCTTCCTTCCCAGGAGTTTTCACAAACACAGTCGCAAACGTTCGGAGATGTATCGAAGCTGCCGTGAACACATTCACCGTTATCAACGCAATCTAAATGTATTGTGAACTAATGTTAAAAAGGAAGGCGTTTTTGGTACAAGTATCAAAATGTGTTGTGAACTAATTTTAAAAAGGAAGGCGTTTCGGTACAGCTATCTAAATGTATTGTGAACTAATGTTAATAAAAAGGAAGGCGTTTTTGGTACAATTATCAAAATGTGTTGTGAACTAATGTTAAAAAGTTAAGGCGTTTCGGTACAGCTATCTAAATGTATTGTGAACTAATATGTTAGAAAGGAAGGCGTTTTTGGTACAATTATCAAAATGTGTTGTGAACTAATGTTAAAAAGGAAGGCGTTTCGGTACAGCTATCTAAATGTATTGTGAACTAATGTTAGAAAGGAAGGCGTTTTGGTACAACTATCTAAATGTATTGTGAACTAATGTTAAAAAATAAGGCGTTTTGGTACAAGTATCTAGATGTATTGTGATCTAATGTTAAAAAGGAAGGCGATTTTGGTACAAGTGTCTAAATGAATTGTAAACGAGTGTAAAAAAGTAGGGCGTTTTTGGTACAAGTATCTACTGTATTGTGAACTGAATGTTAATAAAGGCGTTTGGGTATAACTATCTAAATGTATTGTGAACTAATGTTAAAAAGGAGGGCGTTTTTGGAACAACTAAAATGTAAACATGTAAAATATCATAATCAGATCTCGAGCTAATAGTATATTAACGTATTCAAAGGTGCTATCTGCACTGTGTTTTGACTTGGCTGAATATGACTTACCGCATTGCCCACATGCCCCCGGGCATTTCGTTCTTGCAATCACTGGATCGTTACAGTCAACAGTTTTGCAGTTTCCAAAATTCCTACAGCTTCCTGCAGATTTTATAATAGTAATAAATCATCATTTAAGTTGATATATTTGGAAAACTTGCGTAATAATTAGAGGTTATGTCACTATCGTGGCATATATGCCCGAGGTCTCAGTGATATATGGCCCGACCTTGGGAGGGACATTGATCTCTGAGAACCGAGGGCATATGTGCCACCATAGTGACATAAACGATTTATAACATACCTATGATGATGTAGACTGGTCAGAGAGTACCGTTTTCTTACAGAATTGACTAACAAATTTGTTTGAAAATGATTGAAATGAGTTTAGAAAAATTGCTCGCGCAGTTTTATCTTCGATTGATTGGTTATGACGTCAGCGCCTTGACCAATCAGAAAGTTGGCGGGCGCGGGCTTTTCAAAACTTATATTGGCCCGCTGTCTTGTGTACACTTTGCACTATACATCATCATAGGTATGTTATAATACAGTTTATGTACCCCTTATATTCCGGCTTATTTCAAGACATATGACCTATCAAATAACGTAAAACGTATTGTACATTATTTTTTACCGATGTTTTTAATTTATGAAACAAATTAAGGTTTACCCAGTGTTATGTTGTAATAAATTTTCAAGCACTCCCAACTGTTAGATTAATAATTTTAAATGTGATCAATTATGTACCAGTATGCAGTTGTCACAGCTACAAATATGTACAAATGTTAATATGTTTTAATGAAATGAATTTAGAAAAAATAAAAAAATAACCTATTTTGGTCTGGACTGGCATTTACATGAATAACTAGGACTTTATATTGATCTTTGCTCTAGTTAAGTTACTCACTGTCACATTTCAGTCCGACGTTGTTGCGGTCACATTCGCATTGACAGGTATCTGGATTTAGATTTCCCTCATTGCACCGGTCAACCAAGGCACATTCTGAAACAGCAACAATGATTTATAGAGTATAGAGTATAATGAAGAACTGTGTGTTTGATACATTCACATTGACAGGTGTCTGGATTTAGATTCCCTCATTACAACGGTCCACCAAGGCACATTCTCAAACAGGAACAATGATTTATAGAGTATAATGAAGAACTGTGTGTTTGATACATTCTCATTGACAGGTGTCCGGATTTAGATTTTCCTTATTGCACCGGTCCACCAAGGCACATTCTGAAACAGCAACAATGATTAATAGAGTATAATGAAGAACTGTGCTTTTGACACATTATCATTGACCAGTGTCCCGGTTTAGATTCCCTTATTGCACCGGTCAACCAAGGCACATTCTGAAACAGCAACAATGATTTATAGAGTATAGAGTATAATGAAGAACTGTGTGTTTGATACATTTACATTGACAGGTGTCCGGGTTAAGGTTTCCCTCATTACAACGGTCCACCAAGGCACATTCTGAAACAGCAACAATGATTTATAGAGTATAGAGTATAATGAAGAACTGTGTGTTTGATACATTCACATTGACAGGTGTCTGGATTTAGATTCCCTCATTACAACGGTCCACCAAGGCACATTCTCAAACAGGAACAATGATTTATAGAGTATATAGTATAATGAAGAACTGTGCTTTTGATACATTCTCATTGACAGGTGTCCGGATTTAGATTTCCCTCATTACAACGGTCTACCAATGCACAATCTGTAACAGCAATAAAAGTATTTAGATTATATATTGTGAATCTAATTACATGCATACGATAATGGAAAAAATCTTTCAATGAACGAGTTTAAAAGAAGAAAACAAACTATGTTTCAAAATCTACTACTGGAAAAGAGGCCTCGCTGTGCTTTGGCCACAAATGTGGAAGAAGGAAAAACAATTTTCATTTAAGACTCTCCCTACTTTTCTCAAATGAAGACAATTAGATAGTTATAAGTTAAACAATTTAGGTTATACTGATGTAGTAAACGTATAACTTCACCAACATTATCGAATTTATTTTATATAAAAAAAGTATACATGATACAATAATGACACAGTACAATAATGATACAGTACAATAATGATACCGTACAATAATGATACCGTACAATAATGATAGAGTACAATAATAAGGAAAGCCAAAAAACCAATAAAGGTGAAATTCAAATAATGCGAATGGTTGATGAACTGATGATTCAGAATTACCCATTCTCTAATATAAGGGTTTTGAATAAACATTGTAGATAAAACCATGTTAAAATGAAGAAGTTATTTTTAATGTAGAATAGAAATAGTAAAATCGTTTGTGCACCATGGTGAAAAAATTAATTCGAGTTTAAAATTATCATCCATAATGGTAGTTAAGAAAAGTTCGTTAAATGAAAATAATCTTTCATTGCCTTCTCTATACATCTAGCAATACGTCTGATTTCCCTTTAATAGCCTCTTTAATACACACATCTAGCAATACGTCTGATTTCCCTTTAATAGCCTCTTTAATACACACATCTAGCAATACGTCTGATTTCCCTTTAATAGCCTCTTTAATACACACATCTAGCAATACGTCTGAGTTCCCTTTAATAGCCTCTTTAATACACACATCTAGCAATACGTCTGGTTTCCCTTTAATAGCCTCTTTAATACACACATCTAGTAATACGTCTGATTTCCCTTTAATAGCCTCTTTAATACACACATCTAGCAATGCGTCTGATTTCCCTTAAATAGCCTCTTTAATACACACATCTAACAATACGTCTGATTTCCCTTTAATAGCCTCTTTAATACACACATCTAGCAATACGTCTGATTTCCCTTTAATAGCCTCTTTAATACACACATCTAGCAATACGTCTGATTTCCCTTTAATAGCCTCTTTAATACACACATCTAGCAATACGTCTGAGTTCCCTTTAATAGCCTCTTTAATACACACATCTAGCAATACGTCTGGTTTCCCTTTAATAGCCTCTTTAATACACACATCTAGCAATCTGATTTCCCTTTAATAGCCTCTTTAATACACACATCTAGCAATACGTCTGATTTCCCTTTAATAGCCTCTTTAATACACACATCTAGCAATACGTCTGATTTCCCTTTAATAGCCTCTTTAATACACACATCTAGCAATGCGTCTGATAATGGCCTCTTTATACCCTCTTTATACACATCTCTAGCAATACGTCTGATTATGCACTGATATAAATATACGTAGTCATGTTTTGTAATCACGTTTGTATTGAAGAGTTTACTTACTGCATTCTCCAGACTCTTTAGTTCCTGGTGGACACTCCTCGACTGAAATGCAATTAGATTTTCTTGATAATGAACTGACTCTTGGTATTCCATGTCATTACCAAGTTAAAGAATCTCATATACAATATATACGTATGCTACGTAATTTTACAATCAATGGCAATATCGAGCATTACCAAGTTAAAGAATCTCATATACAATATATACGTATGCTACGTAATTTTACAATCAATGGCAATATCGAACACATATATACGTATGCTACGTAATTGTACAATCAATGGCAATATCGAACACATGTGTTACTCATTCCATTATGCATCCAATTTTATCTTACCGCACAATTTCTTGTAACACCAACCGTTGCCATAGCGACAATTTGTACAGGGTTCTCCGACTTCATATAAACGAGAGGTACCGTTGGAAAGCTGATATACTTTCTTTACATAGTCACCAAGATCCGTAAAGCTAAGAATTAAGAAATGAATGTATCAATTTTATTTTCCCAAATCTATGTTAACAAAGTCTAGAAAAATTGAACAGGTGAACAATTGAAAATGAATATATGCCTACATAGTCCATAAATGTGACAGATATTAAATCAAAAAATTCAATATGAAATCTATATTCGTATTTAAACTGATTCTCATTTTGTAAGTGGAATTGATAACATAATGAAGCTCCACGTATTTACGATACTTCAGATTCGGACAATATATGCACCAAGAATAAAAACACCAGTCATTTATTACGTGAATTGAGTAATCATCAATTTTAGACACGAGGTCGTCAACTTCAAACGCAACTACTAAATTCTTTATCGTAGGGTGTCTTATTAAAACTGTCAAATGGGGTAACGATTTTGGCGGGGATTTTGGACTCCAATCGCAGATGGCCGAGGATCTTAACTTATTAGAATCCTTTACGCAATTTGATTGGATCCTTGAAGCATCTTCGTTCATCTTCGTGATATAAACATCTTCGGCCATCTTCGTGATATAAACATCTTCGGCCATCTTCGTGATATAAACATCTTCGGCCATCTTTGTGATATAAACATCTTCGGCCATCTTCGTGATATAAACATCTTCGGCCATCTTCGTGATATAAACATCTTCGGCCATCATCGCGATATAAACATCTTCGGCCATCTTAGTGATATAAACATCTTCGGCCATCTTCGTGATATAAACATCTTCGGCCATCTTCGTGATATTAACATCTTCGGCCATCTTCGTGATATAAACATCTTCGGCCATCTTCGTGATATAAACATCTTCGGCCATCTTCGTGATATAAACATCTTCGGCCATCTTCGTGATATAAACATCTTCGTTCATCTTCGTGATATAAACATCTTCGGCCATCTTCGTGATATAAACATTTTTGGTTGCTGTACATTGATGATTACTCTTTGAAATGTTCCTTAGGTAAACTTACGTTGAGCGATACTTGCAGACCAAATTACTTGGCTTTTGCTGTGAGGAACAATCAAATAAACCACAACCAACTTCAGTAACTCTAGCCCCGTCTTGCTGCAACAAAAAATAATTAAATACTACATACTAGTACGTCCATGTTATCAATAAATATTGGGGGCAAGTGTGTAAGTGTTTATTTAATTTGATATTTTGAGAGATTATGAATCTTTGGTTCTCACACCAACGTCAACCAATACTATCTAAATTGATTAGTAATCACATACGTATACTCCCTCCGGCGCGTTGACGCACCGCAATAATTTCTCAAAATTCTATATGTTGATGGCCAATCAGATAATTTTCAATGGTTGAAAATCAGTGGTTGAGAAAATCAAGGTTGAATAAATATTGACTGTGTGCTAAACCAACATTGCTGTGTATGTATGCGTTTAAATCTTAGTTTCGTTCTTTCATCACAACAATACTTCTCTTATTTTCAATGGTTGAAAATCAATGGTTGAGTAAATCAAGGTTGAATAAATGTTGACTGTGTGTTAAACCAACATTGCTGTGTATGTATGTGTTTAAATCTTAGTTTTGTTCTTTCATCACAACAATACTTCTCTTATTTTCAATGGTTGAAAATCAATGGTTGAGTAAATCAAGGTTGAATAAATGTTGACTGTGTGTTAAACCAACATTGCTGTGTATGTATGCGTTTAAATCTTAGTTTCGTTCTTTCATCACAACAATACTTCTCTTATTTTCAATGGTTGAGAAAATCAAGGTTGAATAAATGTTGACTGTGTGTTAAACCAACATTGCTGTGTATGTATGCGTTTAAATCTTAGTTTCGTTCTTTCATCACAACAATACTTCTCTTATTTTCAATGGTTGAGAAAATCAAGGTTGAATAAATGTTGACTGTGTGTTAAACCAACATTGCTGTGTATGTATGCGTTTAAATCTTAGTTTCGTTCTTTCATCACAACAATACTTCTCTTATTTTCAATGGTTGAGAAAATCATGGTTGAATTAATGTTGACTGGCGACAACCGTGACCCACTTAACTACAGAGCAATCAGCCTAATCTCAGTGCCATGTAAAATATACTGTGATATTCTTAACAAGCGCCTTACAAATTCCTTGAGAGCAATAACTTATTGGTTGATGAACAAAATGGATTTCGTGAAAAGCGCAGCTGTTTAGATCATGCCCACAGCCTCCACTCAATAGTTAATAATCGTAAGTTGGCTAAACTCGAGACATTTGTTTGTTATATCGACGCAACGAAAGCTTTTAGTGGTCTAAACCGTGATTGTATGTGGCTAAAATTAAACCGCATTGGAGTCAAGGGCAAAATATTCAATGCAATTAAATCATTATATCAGGATGTATCTGGAGCCATTCGTGTCAATGGATATTTAACACCCTGGTTTACCATCAGCAAGGGTTCGAAGGAAGGCTGTCTGTTATCTCCGACAATATTTGCGATCTATGTGAATGACCTAGCCGCAGAAGTAAAACAATTGAACTGTGGGATCAATATAGACAACACTAATGTCTCGATACTTTTATATGCTGACGATATAGCCCTCATAGCCAGCTCTGCAGAAGACCTTCAGAGAATGATTGACACTGGAAATACATGGTGCAGGAAGTGGAGAATGAAAATCAATCAGAGAAAGTCCAAAATTGTACATTATCGCCCACCTTCAAAACCCCGTAGTAATTATCAATTCAACTGTGGCAACATGGAATTATCATATGCCAGCACCTATAAATACCTTGGTATATGGCTAGATGAACATATCAATTTCAATAAAACTGCAAAAGAAATAGCCAAGTCAGCAAATCGTGCCCTTGGAGTTATAATCTCTAAGTATAAACAGTTAGGTGGCATGGATCTCTCAGTGTATAACAAATTGTATGACACCATGGTTCAGCCTATTATTAACTATGGATGCTCAATTGTTGGACTGTCAGAACATAGCTGTATTAACAAAGTGCAAAATAGAGCTGGAAAGTTTTTCCTGGGCGTTGGAGCAAAGACCAGCAATGAAGCAGTAAGAGGGGATTTAGGTTGGGCACAAGCAAAGGACAAACAGAAAATTGAATGTGTACGCCACCCTATTAGACTCAGAAACATGAACCCCAACAGATTGAACCATAAGATCTACAAATGGTCTCTAAAAAGACGCTCAAGCTGGGATTCCAGAACACAGCACATAATACAACTAGCAGGCCTTGAACAACATTTAGGGACACAAACTCCATGTAAACCCTTCATGAAAAAATGAGTGATTATTTTCAACAAACTGATCCATTTCTATTTGGAATGATCAACATAACCTAGTCAATGGTAATAAACTGAGGACATATAGACAGTTCAAGTACGGAGTAGTAACTGAACATTATAATAACATTTACATGCCAAGACATCATAGGAAAACTCTAGCTAGCTTTAGAACTGGGTCCCTTCAACTTAATGTTGAGACACAAAGGTATAATAACACACCTTTATTGGAAAGGAAGTGTAAACTGTGTGACTCAAATGAAGTTGAAGATGAATTACATTTTCTTGTTAAATGTTCACATTATACAGAATTAAGAGACATGTTGTATCAGGAAGCCAAAGTTAAAGTACCTTATTTAAATACTACAAGTGCCAATCCAACCTTAATTATGATCACATTACTACATGCAAAGAACATTCAAAGCTGCCTTGCTGCTACTCTTTACAAAATGTTCTCAAAACGTTTATTTAACCTGGAACGTTTGTGAAATTAAATATGTGCAATATTATCAACCAAAGTCATAATTACTGTATTCTCATTTATTGCATTTTGAAATCACATGTTTATATTGTATGTTATTTAAATCTAGTCATATTGTCTGTGAATTGTTCACACTCTGCAAACTTACTTTACATCCTCTGTGATATTATTCGACATACCAATGCTATATTTTTCTATTGACTATCTTTGTATATTTATATGGTGTCTCGTAAGCCGATGTCGGCTGTTGGGTTTTTTAACACATGTATTTTACTTGTAATATTTTAGTAAACCTGTGACACAGAAATAAACTATTATTAAACTAATTAAACCGTGTGTTGAGCCAACATTGTTGTGTAAGATTCAAGATTTTATTGTGTTTCAAACCAAACACTTGGTTTCCTCACAAAATCAATTACAAGACATTTACATATAATTATACAGTTAAAAAAACAACATGCATTGTTTCACAAATACTATCATACAATCTAATTTTTTCCTTTTTCAAATAGCTCCCGACGCTGATTAAAAGGTTTATTTATAAAATGTATCAATTCGTTAACAATTTCAAAATCATCAGAAGTCATTAAAAAGTTATATTTTTCTTCATCCGACATATTATCAAATGTGTCAATAAAACTTAGTTTATTAAGAATTCAAATCTACATTTTTTATAGTTTCAATGGTTGAAAATCAATGGTTGAGTAAATCAAGGTTGAATAATTGTTGACTGTGTGTTAAACCAACATTGCTGTGTATGTATGCGTTTAAATCTTAGTTTCGTTCTTTCATCACAACAATAGCTCTCTGAGTTTCAATGGTTGAAAATCAATGGTTGAGAAAATCAAGGTTGAATAAATGTTGACTGTGTGTTAAACCAACATTGCTGTGTATGTATGCGTTTAAATCTTAGTTTCGTTCTTTCATCACAACAATAGCTCTCTGAGTTTCAATGGTTGAAAATCAATGGTTGAGAAAATCAAGGTTGAATAAATGTTGACTGTGTGTTAAACCAACATTGCTGTGTATGTATACGTTTAAATCTTAGTTTTGGTTTTTCATCACAGCAATTGTTTGAGAATCTCTTACTTTGAGATGAAGGATAAAAAGGTTTTGATAAGTGAAAAGGGGGAACTTGAGATTGCCATACGTGTATAGTATATTTTATCACATTGCTTACATTTGTGTAGTGCCCCGTTGATGCCCACTGCCCGTCGACTGCCTGCGCAATGTACCAGTTATACCCAGGGTTATTTATCTCATTCCACCAGCCATTCACCCTATACCTATGACGTAACAATCGTATATACATATGTATTACATACCTAGCGAAGCATTTGTATGGAAGTCAATGGGAAAGTTAGCGAGCTATATCCACCGATATTGCCCGATTACCCCGATATAGCCCGCTTACCTCGTTTTGATATTAGATTTCTTTAATAACCATGATAATATCATGACGTCACGTCATTGATACAAAGTAACCATGGGAACATCAGTTATGTCACTATGACGTGAAATATGCCTTCGTTCTTGCCCAAATATAGAGCCTCCCAAGGTCGGCCTATATTGGGAGAACTCAGGCATATTTCACGTCATAGTGACATAACCTCTAAATACAAAATATTATTGATTTATTGACCCTTAACTTAAAGCAAAAATATTTACTATAAATGTGTTTATACCACTTTGTTAGCCAGCATTTCACATATTTTTCACAACAGTTTGGCGTTTATAGTATCATCACCATATGCAGACTTCGCTAATGAAAGTGAATCGATATGGACGCAAAAGCTGGACCGGCACGGAATAACGGTTATATATTTGAATTTAAAACAGCCATGTGTCAAATTTGAAATCTATGATGCCCCCGAATAATTTAGAGTATCACAAATTCATCGTGTACACATAGGCACTGGGGTGATATTGATCTGACATCATGATGCAGAGAAATCGTAATTTTACTGAGAGGCTATACAAAAATAGAATCATTATAAGCCACCTTAAAGTACTTACTCTAACTTTTCTTTTGTTATAGGCCAGTTGATCCCAAACATGTTTTCAGAAGCCATCACGCACTCAAAACCATCATGTGCATTCGGGCATGTCACAGCGTGCTTCATTGAACATACTTCTAAAGTATCACTCCATTTCTATAACATGACTCAAATAAGTTAAACATTGAATTCACCACGCCCTCAAAACCATCATGTGCATTTGGGCAAGTCACAGCGTGCTTCATTGAACATACTTCTAATGTATCACTCCATTTCTATAACAAAATTGGAATTAGTTGAAAATAAAATTTTATGTTATAGATGAAATTCAAATTAGATAATAATGAATGTATTTACATAATGAAACAAGAGTAGTAGATTTGATATTAATATGTGTGTATTTAATAGCAATGATTACAAAAATCATTAAGATAATCTTAATAAATTACCAATAAGTTCATATTCGATGGCGGTCCAGGTTCAACAAGCGTACGCAGTCTGTTCATTTCATCCAAGATAACGTCTCTGATGTCTTGTGCGCTCAAATCTCCAGCATCCTGGATGCGGTCTTGTCCCTTCACACTAGTAAACGTCAAAAGTACAAATACTCCCACAATTGCGCTTAAATAAAGAATGTTGAGTTATTGATATGACATATGATGTCTCTAATGTCTTGTGCGCTCAAATCTCCAGCATCCTGGATGCGGTCTTGTCCCTTCACACTAGTAAACGTCAAAAGTACAAATACTCCCACAATTGCGCTTAAATAAAGAATGTTGAGTTATTGATATGAAATTTGATGTCTCTAATGTCTTGTGCGCTCAAATCTGCAGCATCCTGGATGCGGTCTTGTCCCTTCACACTAGTAAACGTCAAAAGTACAAATACTCCCACAATTGAGCTTAAATAAAGAATGTTGAGTTATTGATATGAAATATGATGTCTCTAATGTCTTGTGCGCTCAAATCTCCAACATCCTGGATGTGGTCTTGTCCATTACACTTGTCAACATCAAAAGTACAAATACTCCCACAATTGAGCTTAAATAAAGAATGTTGAGTTATTGATATGAAATATGATGTCTCTGATGTCTTGTGCGCTCAAATCTCCAGCATCCTGGATGCGGTCTTGTCCCTTCACACTAGTAAACGTCAAAAGTACAAATACTCCCACAATTGCGCTTAAATAAAGAATGTTGAGTTATTGATATGAAATATGATGTCTCTAATGTCTTGTGCGCTCAAATCTCCAGCATCCTGGATGTGGTCTTGTCCATTACACTTGTCAACATCAAAAGTACAAATACTCCCACAATTGCGCTTAAATAAAGAATGTTGAGTTATTGATATGAAATATGATGTCTCTAATGTCTTGTGCGCTCAAATCTCCAGCATCCTGGATGCGGTCTTGTCCCTTCACACTAGTAAACGTCAAAAGTACAAATACTCCCACAATTGAGCTTAAATAAAGAATGTTGAGTTATTGATATGAAATATGATGTCTCTAATGTCTTGTGCGCTCAAATCTCCAGCATCCTGGATGCGGTCTTGTCCCTTCACACTAGTAAACGTCAAAAGTACAAATACTCCCACAATTGCGCTTAAATAAAGAATGTTGAGTTATTGATATGAAATATGATGTCTCTAATGTCTTGTGCGCTCAAATCTCCAGCATCCTGGATGCGGTCTTGTCCCTTCACACTAGTAAACGTCAAAAGTACAAATACTCCCACAATTGCGCTTAAATAAAGAATGTTGAGTTATTGATATGAAATATATGTCTCTAATGTCTTGTGCGCTCAAATCTCCAGCATCCTGGATGCGGTCTTGTCCCTTCACACTAGTAAACGTCAAAAGTACAAATACTCCCACAATTGCGCTTAAATAAAGAATGTTGAGTTATTGATATGAAATATATGTCTCTAATGTCTTGTGCGCTCAAATCTCCAGCATCCTGGATGCGGTCTTGTCCCTTCACACTAGTAAACGTCAAAAGTACAAATACTCCAACAATTGAGCTTAAATAAAGAATGTTGAGTTATTGATATGAAATATGATGTCTCTAATGTCTTATGCGCTCAAATCCCCAGCATCCTGAATGTGATTTTATGTCAACATCAAAAGTACGAAGACCTCCAAAATTGTACTCCAAAACCAAGAATGTAGAAATTAAAGGCAGTGATTCCTTACCATATATGGTAAATTAAACTACAACCACATTTGGATGCGGCCAATTATCTGCTGCAAAAGTTCCATATATTAATTTACTTTTTCAAGCAAGGTGGAATCAACATTTTAAATTTAAAACTGCAATAAGATTCAGATTAATAAATAACTGTGACAAAGGTTAGCAAATTTAATACATGAATTCAAGAGATATCGGAAAACTAGGTCTAACACCCCAGTCACATTTGTCGCACGGCGGCCGCAAGTCGACCGCAGAACAATTAAATCGGTGAATTTCTGCGGCGATCGTAGAAAAACTACGCTCGCCTTGCGGCCTCCGTACGGCGTATACAGATTTTTACAGGCCGCAGGGAAGGCGTAGAAATTATAACTCGGAGTTATAATATTTGTTCATTTCTGAGGTCCCCGTAGAAATCAACTGGCTCAACAAGATTGAATCATTATTTGTCAATGTTTCACGATCACTTTTCATTTGATATTACATCCTAGCACTTTGAATAACATTTATAAATTGTCCTGATGTAAATAAAATGAAAAAAACTATTATTTATCAATAGAAATTTAAAATTCACCGTGCGGCTGCCGTGGGAAATGTGACTGCAAAAGTATGAGAGCGCAGAAATTCTGCGGCGAGCGTAGAAAAGCTACTGGCCGCAGAAATGATAGACCGCAAGGTCGCCGTAGGAAATGTGACTGGGGTGTTAGATGTCAGATTCTGTGGACATTTAAACTTTCAAACATCCTATTACACTATTTGCTAACTGATTTTTTATTTTATATTAGATATTGAAGCCCTGCCTATAAGAAGATATAACAGTATTGATCTACAATAAATGCGTCTTTGCACTTTTTTAATGAAATGTTGTATAATCTAAAGGACCGCGAGTTGTTGAGTTTTTTCATGCATTTCGCTTGTGTTTTTCACCTAAAAAACATTGACAAACTTTTAAACGTTTTATTGACTATAATATTGCACTATATAACCCAGAAACTATTTCTCATTTTTAAGGATTATCTATTGATTAACACACATGTATTTTCATTTTTCAAACTTCAGAGAGCTGGGAATCATTGATTGCGAATGCTTTTGAATAATATAAATGCATGTATCATGTATGCCAATAATTTCTCAAACTGTGTAAATGGTACCCATTCCTTAATCCCCATTCCTTAATCTCCAGAATCTTCCCTTTGGGGAATTTCCCATAGTAATTCAATGGTATAGTTCCAAGCAGATTTTGAGATAACCGGAAAGTTAATCATCTTTAATACACACCTTATTGGGATGTGATATAAACCAAAATAACCCAAAAAGTGTGTATTAATGATTAACTTTTCCTTAAAATTATGTTATAGCCACTCACCTCTTCATGTTGCTTTGTCCAGTCTAAAACACGAAACAATATTTTGAAACAACCCTGCCATTTATAAACCAGAAAGCACAATTGGTATTCGCATGAATCATACAAAAAAAAATCCGTTTTTCATTTTTTTCATGCGAACCCGTGACGCCAGATAAGGCGCTTGCGTTTTTGCTCACTTTTGATATATGAAATATCTATTTAACACCAGCATTTTAACAAATCGTGCATTCAATGATAATACGCAATATTACAGAAATTGCTACTGTCGATTTTACAAAGTAAATCGAACATTAAAGGTTACTTCACGACTATAATATTTCCCGAGGCAGGGCTGACGGACAAACGTTTGTCAAATCAGTGTTTTTCAGCGTTGTAAACGAATTCTAAACACAAATAACAATGTCTTTACCCAAATGAGTGATTTTGATGTGATTAGTTGTTCTAGAAAAATGTATAGGTTGCACACTCTCATTCATTAGTTTTGAGTTTTTTCTTATCGGAAGAACGTTGCTGACAAAAGTGTTTGCGATGTACAATAATATACATGTACATCGCGGTTAGGCTTGCGTATGGCTGTTATGTGTGCTTTTAGTTGATCCTTTTGTCTATTCGGTTCTAGTCCTGTAGTCACGTTTCGTTTCAAACATGCATCTACATGTGTATGTATGCATGATTACCAATCGGAAATAAAATGGGGTGTTCGAGTGTAAACATCCGTCACCTCTAATCAGATCGACTAACAAAACACCCTTGTTGCTTTTATCGAGTTTGCCGAGAGCTTGAACGTCAGCACGTTCAAATCAGGTAAATGAGTGCCGTAATCCCTAGGTTGGAGTTGAGACGCGTGTACATAGATAACAAATTAATAAAATGAAAGTGCACCCCGTCATATGGGAAACAAACCCCACTATCACAAACGTGAAATGAAACAATGTCTTATACCCCTCCCTCACTACCAAAGAAGCCAATGTTGTTTGGATCTCAACCCTATGGAAACAATTATTTTAAAATGTTTGTGAAATTACATCCCTTAATTTTTTCTCTGTAGAAGTCTAGCTTGTTCGAGATAATTTGCAATTAGTAAGATATAAAAGATTTATCGAGAATGAAGTTTTTTAATGATTATGTGCACGAATTTGCATTTTAGAAAAACAGCCCTCTCCTTTCGTCGAATAAAATTAACGATAATATAAAAACTGACTGCGATAAGAATGGGTTTGATACTTCATGCAAATATTATTCAAAACGTAGAATGCATCACAAGAAGATGTATTATTACCACCTTGCCGGGCCAGTTCTAGGGGTTTTAGTGCTAGTTTAGAAGGCGTTCATTTTACTATATCGACCTGAGAAATGTGTGACGTCATAGTGGTGGTCTATATGGACCGGTCTAGAATATATTCTGGACCGGCAATTTTCCCCGGGAAATTAGATATCGTTCAATGCGTAAGATTTTCTTGCTGTTTCAGTCCTGGTCGTTAACGGTGGTAATAATACTAATAACGTCATCTCTGCGAGCAATATAGTGAAATATTGGACCTTGGGCCTTCGGCCCTTGGTCCAATATTTCACTATATTGCCCTTAGAAATGACGTTATTGTACTATTACCTTTTTACCTGAACTGTTTTTTCTCGATGTTCTGGACACTTCATTTGCCTCACTTTGCATTTTGTTAATTTTAACTAAGTTTGAATGATTTGACTATACACAGCTGGAAATGCACATTTAAGGTGCATATTACGAATATGATAATATACAATCGAAATATACACGGGAATTTTACGATATTTGTTATACCGAAACTGAAATGCATTAATTTGTTTTTGAATTGTAGAAGAGTGACATAGTATGTACAAGAGTGACATAGTATGTTACAAGATATGCATCAGTTAGAATTAACAGTAACGGTGACCATACTGATATCTTTAAATGTGAGAGGGGGGTTAAATAGGGGGACCCCCTTAGTCCATTAATGTTTAATATTTATGTCAATGATGTTGTTGAAGAATTAACACTCGAATCAGACTTAAAATTACAAAAACATAAAATAAGTTGCCTGCTATTTGCAGATGATTTAGCCATAATTACAAATGAAACTGATATGGAGATAAAATTGAAAGAATTAATATAAACAATTATTGTAAACAATGGAACTTAGATATCAATACTGATAAAACTAAAATTGTAATGTTAATGAAAGTGGTAAACAATGTAATGATATATTCTACATGGGGGACCAGGTAATTGAAAACGCATCAAAGTATACTTACTTGGGTATGGAATTCCATGCCAGCGGATCGATGAAACAAGCTGCAATTTTTATCAAATAAAAGGCAGAAAAGGCGAAATTCAAATTGATAATTAGTATGCTTACACATGGTGATATAAACCTAACCTTGTGCCTGAAATTATTTGATATATAAATAAAACCAATTTTATTATATGAATGCGAAATCTGGAGTGCTGGTCTAATAACTAATAAAGATCTTCTGAAAAATAAAGAATTTGGCCTTGAAATGAAATATGACAAGTCACTTCCACCGGAATTACTACATCTATCTTTTTTGAAGTTTTTATTAGGGGTTCATAGAAAAACGAGTAATTTAGCTACGATGGGTGAATTAGGTAGATTCCCTTTGTTTATCAATATATTTTACCAACAAGTTAAATACTTGGATCATATAGAAAATGAAGGAACGAGTTCGTTATTAATTAATGCATATGCAGATAGTATTGAACTATCAAAAGTTCATAATCAACCATCATGGTACAATGACATTGATAGAATAATGGCATATGTTCAACCACAAGATACAAATTACATTAATAGCAAACCGCTTGATATAAGAAAATCCTTGAAAAGAGATATATAAAATATTGGGAGAAAACTGTCAATGACATGACAATTTATAAAGACCAATAATTCCGAGAGATCAAAGAAAATGCAAATTATGTAAAATCAACACTGATACGGAAACTAATTTTATTTTTGAATGCCAAAAATTGGAAAAAATGAGATATGAATACTTTGGTACGTTTAACTCAATTTGCCCAAATCTAACTGTATTGACTTCCGAAGAAAAGGCTTATTATATGTTTAATGCCGAGGGTAACATGTGTATTACCTTTTCAAAATACCTTTATGAAATAATTGAAAAGAGATCAACTATATTAACAACATAAACATATACATATAGGCTAATAGAAGTGGTTCGTACAAAAAAAACGCAACCCAAAGAAATCGCGATATCTTAGAAAATACTGTTCTAATTATGTTCATATTTTCAGGAAAGAAAGAAGAGACTGTGTATGTATAGCCCCTGTTGTTAGTTAGTAGTAAAAAATGATGTCTTGGACACCTGCTCAAAAGACAGTTGTACTAGCAAAATACGAAAAACGTGAATGGAAAATAACTATATCTTGGAAAATATTAATTCAATTATGTTTATTTTTTCAGGAAAAGAAAGAAGAGACTGTGTATGTATAGCTCCTGTTGTCAGGAAGTTATGAAACATGATGCCTTGGACACCTGCTCAAATGACTGTTGTACTAGGAAAATCTGAAAACGCAGTCAGAGGTGACTACCACAGCAATAAAACCTAATAACTTTCTAACTATGGTGTTTTGGCACTTCAGATTTAGCACAAATTATCGTTATTATATGTGTGGTGAATTTGTGAAGTTTCATCAAAATCACTCCAGGGACTTTATAGTCATGGTCAAAATGCCTTCTTAAGTCTCCCTGAACCAGGGCGTTTGACTGCGATTTCAAATCATTTCAGCCATGACAGTGAAGTCCCTGAAGTGATTTTGATTTCACTCTACAGATTTATCATACAGTGAATGAAGATTGTTCGTGCCAAATTTGAAGAGCCAAAACACTATGGTTAGGAAGTTATTTTATTTTTTTGCGGTTGCAGTCACCCCTGACTGCGTTTTTCGCATTTTGCTAGTACAACTGTTTTTTGAGCAGGTGTCCAAGGCATCATGTTTTACAACTATTCATTGACAGGAGCTATACACACACAGTCTCTTCTTTATTTCCTGAAAATATGAACATAATTGAACCAGTGTTTTTCAAGATATAGCAATTTCTTTGGGTTGCGTTTCTTTTGAACACCCTGTATATATCTAATGATCAGTCAATCGCATGATATTGTCATTATATGCCATGTAAAATTTGCATTGTATGTTATTGTAGTTATATGTATAGTTTTAGTTTTATTTTATCATGTTTGTTTGCTGTACACTTACTCGAAAGGGATTTTTAGTACAATAAAGCATTGAATATATATGCCAGTGAATGAAACGAGTGTATGTTAAAAAATATAACATTGGGTGACATGGTATGTTACAAGATATGCCAGTGAATGGCATGGTATGTTACAAGATATGCAAGAACAATTGGTTTTCAAATATAACGATTTTAACATTTGGCTTGTACCTTATATCCTTCCGACACATATCGAATGACTAGAATTATGGTAGGGGTTAAGAATACTTTATCTGTCAAAGGTTTTAACGTCTAAGATAAGATGTGTGTGGACGAGTCTTGTAATTGATTAATGTTGGTTTTAAAACCCATGTAACAGAGGGTGGGCCGTTTTGCCCCACCCATGGGCCGTTTTGCCCCAGTCTCGACAATATTTTTGACCATTGAAAAATCACAGAAGAATAGTCCTCTGAATAGTCCTAGGAAAGTATAAAACTCTCGAAAAATGTAAACCACAAACCATTAATAAAGTGGAACATCAAAGTGCGCGATGATTGACAGATAAGAAAATACCCCGTACAGAACAACTTAAAATTAATTTTTAGGGCCGTTTTGCCCCATGTTCCCTTAGTGAGTGACATGGTACATGCCCTACGTTACAAGATATGACAGTGGGTGCCATGGTATACTACATAATATGATAGCGAGTGACATGGTACAAGATATGATATACAAGGTACAATAAACAACAGTGGGTGACATAATAAGGTACAAGAAATGACAGTGAGTGACATGGTATGTTACACGATTTGACAATGAGTGACATGGTATGTTACAAGATATGACATGAC